GTTAGTCGCGAGTACAGAGTGACCACCTAACCAGCAGAAACCGGAAACAGGCTTTGAGAAAGTCTACTGTGAGCCTTTTGTACCGGGGGACGTCGATTTCAACGCGCATTTTCCATTAAATCGTAGGATCATACGATGATCGAGAATTGTTTTGAGCGGTAACGCCTTAGGTAGTGTACATAAACAAAGAGGAGCCCGCCTGTGATATTAGGGAGCTTTAGCAACGACGACGGCGACGGCAAAGAGGACGTCAAAAAAGCAATAGGTTTATTACGCAAAGCAACAACTTTGCACGTGCATCACGCTTTTTTGTACATTTCTTTACCGTCCTTGCGCGACTACGACGTGAAAATGCCTAATTCCAAGTTTTATGGAGGACGTAAACAAGCGACAACGAATCTCTTTTTCTCCCTCTAAACTTGAGTGCGGTCCTCAAGAAATCAACTCTAGGGAAATTCGCCTACACTTGCCATTTTCAGCAAATTGGAATAAACGCGACAAAGATTGTAAAAACGGAAATTCATTTTAAAACTGACGTTTTCGCTGCAGTTGCCGTCGTCGATGCTAAAGCTCCCTAATGACGCAATCGCGCAGATGTATTCCCGCTATTTTTTACGATTTACTTTTCATCTCTAGCCTGCGTCGCAGACCCTCCAAACCGCCTGTAAAGATGGACTATAGCAGTGGTCACGACGATACGTGGGCCGGCTGCAACACAGCCAGGCTATTTATCTCAGGAAAATTCCCTTTTTAATCTTTTGAATTTGAGGGGGGTTATGGAAAATACTGAGTATTGGGAAGTCACCGGCGCTGCTCCGGCGTTTGACGGTCAAATTACAGCAAAAATAGATTATAAATCTTACGAGTAAGAAATGATAATGCTAGCAGAGGAGGGGATGCTGGTCAGAGTAGGATGAGAGGGGAAGTAACGTACTAGAGTTATTTCAGAAGCAAAGAAGCAACTGAGACATTTTTATTTAAACACGTAAGCTAGACCATCATTTCAAATCATTAAAACCGCATTTACAAAACAGTACATTGAAACCATTAAAATTCATATTCACAGAATAATCAGACTTTTAATAATAAAACAAACGGGCAAGCTAGTCTATCTCTAGTGTTTCGGCTGTGGAGAAAAGTGGAGCGTATTAATGAGAAATCCGGAAAAACCCTAGTTTCTCAATCGAAGGCAAGTAAGGGTGCGTTTCTTTGTGAGAATCGAAGATTAGATTTGTCCGCACCCCTAAAAGGCACAGCTCATGAATTCTAAAAGTCCTACTCTGAAGAGACTATGTCACGCTATCTTCAACCTTTTCAAAAAGCAGGAACGTGTCTTCACATAAATTAAATGCTTAACCCTTTCACTGACAAATTTAGCCAAAAGCAATTTTCAACCAAATGTTCAAATTTCATTTTGTGAAATTTTGAAAAAAAATAAAAAAATAGCACCATGTGAAAGTACAGGCAGAGAGCTTTCATTTGAATGGTCACATCATAGGATTTCATCCACAAACACAAAAGTTACAGTCACGTTACAAAACTCCATCAAGCACTCTGGCAGTGAAAGGGTTAAAATAATGGTCCAGTTTTGTTATTTAAGACTATATTTAGACATTTTAACTGTTTCCTGTTGTCTGTAGCTGATGATGGGAAGGATGGATATGGATTGAAACTTGAAAAAGCTGGGCCAACTGTTTTCAAGTTTTAGTGCTATGCCCGCAACCCCCCAAGAACTATTATATTTAGTGCCCCCTAATAAGGTTTGTTTGCTATCTTTTTCGTAACTTCAAACTGAGGAGCATTTTGTGTATGGGTAAGAGACTAAGTAATGACTTCAGCACAGAATCTACTTAAAACAGCAATATCCTCGTGATTTTTAACGAATCCACTAAGGAGTGTTAAGACGAAATCCATTAGGAAATTGAGTAATTTTCATTTTCAGTGGACAAAAACCTTGTACCAGAATAATTTAAGCAATATCGCATTCTCTTTTACACTTTTCAAGGCTATAGATATAATTGGAAATCTGTAGTAACACCAAAGACTATTTCTCGTGGTAGCCCGAGAAAATAAATATCAAATTTCACAAGAATTGTGAAACACAGGTAAAATTCTGAAAATTTGTATAGGTAATAGCATGATTTGTAGTGATATTTGGCATGAATACCACGAGTGATTTTTCGAAATTGAAGGTGAAAAATCCGCTTATGTTTTCCCAAACAAAAGGAACCATAAATCTTAACCAGATCTAAAGAGAAGCATTCTAGAGGAGACCACAGGCCCCACAAGATCTGCGTACTCCTGCACTTCATCACGATCATCTGCCCCTCTAAACGCCGCATAAAGCTGTAAAGAATTCACAAAAAAAAGCCTTAAAATAAACATATTTTAAAACTCATTGCTATAGCTAATCGCCATTCTTCAGATAGATGTCACGCAAAATTGCATTTTTTATTGCTTTTTAGTGAAACAGAAACATCTTTTCAGAGACTTATTCTTTCTACTGAATTTAGTAAACCATCGAAGTTTTGCAAAAACCAGCGAAAAAGTTACGTAAATATGAGGGTCCAAATTTAAAAAGAAATGCGTGCTCTTCCTTCTCTTTAAACACTGACAATTTGGGCCGTCTTGTTTCAGGGAATTTTCTACGGGATTTTATGAAACTTAGCACTTTTTCACTAAATTCAATATAATAAATCGATAAATGAAGACGTGCTTTTGTTCAATAACACGCATCACATTTTGCAATTTTTCGTCACTTGACTACAACTTCCAGAATTCTTTGTTTTCCTCTCAAATTAAAGTCACTGGATTGAGATCTCACCTGGATTGTTGAATATAAACTCCATTAAAGGAAAAACGAAATGTGTTCTGGAAGTTGTCGACAAAATGGCCAACTGTTTTACTGAATTTAAATGAATACCTGGTAGGGCATGGCTTGGCGATTAAACAAAACAAGAACATCTTCTGTGGAACCCTGAGGCGTTTCTGAAAGTGAGGATTTGAAAGGAAAAATGTAATTGTATGAAAACATCAAGCGCTTTGACTGGTTGCGTGGTCTTGAATGGTTTTACATGGTCCGTTTATAATTATAGTTGGAAATTACATTGCAAAAATATTTCTCCCGTCAGAAAACCTTGAATCTAACCCATCAGTTCGTCCCATTATTTAACAGTTAGTCGCCTCAGGCGACGTGAATATCGGCGAATAGTCACGGAGACGATGTCGAGGTGACTATTAGCCGATATTCAAGTTGCCTGAGGCGACTAATTCTTTTAGTATAATTACGTCGATGATTATTCGAGAAAATAAAATTATTGATCAATTTCCGCCTCCGAAACATCAAAAAATCTGGCTGCCATTTTGAAAACTGCTAGACTTCAATGTTATAATCACCGCACGGTGATTATAGCGGGATAAAGCGAAGCTCCTAGCGAATCCTAGCGCTCTATTTTCGATAATCATCAATGTAGTTATACTAATGATGGGTTAGTCAACAGAACGGTTGAACGAACGGGACAGCCGTCTCAAAAAGGTTGCCGCAGTGACGGGACGGGACGGGACGGTCAACCAACTGGAAGATCTCATTGACGGGATGGTTTTATGAGAAAGGTGGTCTCATTGGTCCGTTCTAATCGTAGATGAAACAAATCATTTTAAGTTTGTAATCGCTCTCCATGACTGAGTGAAACGCAATGATATATGATTCTTTTCTTGGCTCTTTGCAAGTAGGATGAAATGTGTACCTTGTGCACCAAAACGCAACCCACAATTTTCATCTCAATTCCTAGAAAATAATGCAAGCGTTACCTTCTTCCGAGTCGTCTAGGCGAGAATATTTAGCGAGAGCAATTTTAGGACGACACTGTTCAATTGGGATCCAGTTGTAGGTTTCTGGACAGAGAATATAGGATGGACTGTACTGACCCTGTAGAGACACATAAAATAAATAAATAAAATTAATACACAAAATAAATAATGATTTGGAGGTAGTACATCCACAAAGTGGTTCTTCACCTACCTGATTCCTGGTCGAATTGGAATTTGAAAATGTTGGTTTTCGAGGAGAGGGAAAACCGGAGTACCCAAAGAAAAACCACTCAGAGCAAGGGAGAGAATCAACAACAAACGCAACCCACATCGGGATTTGAACCCGGGCCACATTGGTGGGAGGCGAGCGCTCTCACCACTGCGCCACTCTTGACACATATTGAAAGCTTATTAGAACAAGGGCCGAATCCAATTTTGTCCCCATAGTAGCTGTATGCCTCTAGAGCCGTACCCGCGCCCCCTCCAAAACAACAACAACAACAACAACTAGGAGATGGATATAAGTAGGTATAGATAGCTCATAAATAGCAACATCATAACTAAGTATATGATTTACTGAAACCTCCGGTGATGGACATTCGTCATGTAAACTCAAACGCATATTACAGTGTATAAGATTGAGCGGTCACGCCATGACATGGCAATCTCGGATTGAGATTGAGCGGTCAGCCATGGCAGTCGGACACGTGTCTGCCGCTCCGTTATTTGTCTATAAATGCTTTAATTTTTGCCTTATTTTGTCCTCTCGGCGACCCTTATTTTAACTAATGAGCAGTTTTACTCTTATCAAGGTTGTCTAAGTTATTCATTTGTCGAGGCTAAAGGAATTTTTTGCCGTTTTCTAATATACAGTGGAACCTCGATATAACGAAGGGCCAACGAACTGGCAAAATTCGCTCCCTATTACGAGGTTTCGTTACATGGAGGTTCTTTTTCGTACTATATTTTACTATTACTGGTGTACAGAAAATCGTTCGCTATACCGAAAACTTCGTTATATAGAGGTTCGTTATATCAAGGTTCGTTATGTGGGGGTTCGTTATACCGAGGATTTCGTTATATCGAGGTTCGTTAAATGGAGGACTTCGTTATATAGAGGTTCGCTATACCGAGGACTTCGTTATATCAAGAGAGAATGAGTCTTGGTTATATAGAGGTTCGTTATACCGAGGACTACGTTATATCGAGGTTCCTCTGTACTGAGTGCTGTGTCAAAATGACGGCTTCTAAAGTGAAGACTCGTTCCAGCAATTTGGCTGAAGAATCACTCCTCTCTTTTCCTAAACAAATGGACGGTTACATTAAAAATTCCAGTGTTCAAAGCGGGTATTTTTGTGTTTCGCTCAATTTTAATGGCAAGTTTTGTATTGGGTGAATTTGGCTACTTTTTCGTGACAAAGCTCCTTTAAGTTCAAAGGTGAATAAGCATACACACCTTATACTTCATTTTAGGACAGGATTGAATGTAAAAGCCCATGTAGTAACTCTCAATACTTGGAGTGGTTCTTTGGAGTGAACGAGTAAAATGAAGTTCCCTGTAAAATAGAGATTCAAAAAATTTTGAGCAGTCAGCGAGACCGAAAAAGTAGAGCGTTTGGAGGCTGCGAATTCAAGTTCTTTCGAGAAACGGGCCCCATTTGTGTTTTACTGCCTCCTGCCCGGCTAGCGGCTGCTATACACTAGCTAGAGTTGTTTCTGAGTCGTCCTTAGAGTTCAACTGAAAATTGACTAGATATATTCTAGATACATTTTAATAAAAACTATACACACATTCTTAGAAGTACTTAAAAAGTAAAAAAAGCCTTTAGTGCGCTTAGTTCTGCAGGTGGCTGTGACATTCTAATAAAATATAGCTGATCTGACTTAATCCTTCACCCCTTCACTGCCAGAGCACTTGATGGAGTTTTGATTTTGCGCATACAGCTATTTCGAGAAAGGTTGTCGGAAAAAATGTGCACGCGACAATCCCAGAAAGTAATATGGGATATGATCAATACACTGTTCCTGACACTGTAGCTGTCAAACCTACTTTTGTTGCTTTCCTTTAGCACTCGCAAACATACGTCCATGGCCTCTCGTGCCATTCTTTTAAATTTCTTCAAAGAAGAATGAACTCAAAACCACCCACAATACCCTTCGAGATTGTCGCGTGCACGTTTTCCGACCTTCCTCGAAACAGCTGCATACTTTGTAAATAACTGTGTTCTTCTACACGTAGCGGTCTCCACCCACCCTAGCTCAACGGGCCCCCAGTCAAAGGGCCTCAAATAACAACAAAAATAAACTTTTTAATTTACCCTGTGATTGCCTACCTTAGCGCAGAATAGACGCCAAGCGATAAGAAGAAATAATCGGGATCGTAGAAAAGGTATACTGACGAGACACAGCGAGGAAGAATGTCAATCACTCCTACAGCTACCAGTTTACCTGACATTGGAACAGAAAACAATAATCACCGGTAAACCATCAGCGTATGAGTCGTCTCTTTATTTTCCTTAGGATAATAGATAGTAGGACGAGAAAAAAAGGCGGTCCAAGAAATCGCCTCCCGATAAGAGAAGAGTGTCGCTTTTTCTCGTTGTAAGCCAACAATAAATAGCATCTCGATTTCCTCAGGGCGAATTACACGAGCTCGCGTGAAAATCGCCATTCGCGAGGAGGGTGGCCGTTTCCACGCGTGGCGTTTGCACTCGCGGGTGGCGATTTTCAGGTGCGTTTTGACGACCGCTGAAGTGTTTCCCTTGCTCTATTATTCCTGGGTTGGGTGGAAAGTTACTACTTGTAGTCTATTGGCTATTTTGAGGTTGAGCGCAAGTCTCTGTCGGGGTTGTTTCGATTTGCAGTATGGGACGAGAGTGACTCGTGGTTTCGGCGAAGCTGTCGCTTTTTGATTGGCTGTTAAGTAGTGGGGAAGGGACCGAATTATCCGGTTTTTTGAAGTGGAATCTCATTAGTTTGAATTGGAATAAATTAACGCCGATGACAGGAATCTCGTGAAGATAAGGTCGTGTGCTATTTCTAGTTGGTTTAGCTTTTCTAGTTACTTTAAGGTCCATAAACATCTTTGTTTTCGATTGGTGAGTTAGAAAATAAGAGACGTTTTCATTGGTTAATTCATAGTGTCTGAGGAGTAAAGTCAAACTTGTCTGTGACTTAAAATCACTGAGACGTAACGTAATTATGCAATTCCTATTTCCTGCTGCTGTGATTGTCCTAGTTCCGGTTCACTGCTTTTTGGCGGGCAAATCGTGCATATTAATGACGTCAAACGCAAACTAGCCGTTTTTAGCACCATAGACAATGTTTTACTTACCCCACACCCCTCCTACTACTCCGCAATTGATTTATTTTCCCTTTTTGATTTTACTTTTTATTTTTAATTTCCATCTATGACCACATCTACCGTACATCGACCCCACATCGACCATACATGAACCCCACAGTGACCATACCCTCAACTTTTTTTCCACCACATTTCTATTGTTTTCCTCCACCACCACGTTTTTTATTGTTTCCCTCTTCCACCACCACATTTCTATTGTTTTCTTTCCACCACCACCATCAGCACATTCCCATTGTTTTCCTCCTACACCACCACCACCGCCGCCACCACATTTCCATTAGGGACCTTAAGATACTCTGGACGCGGCCGAGGAGGACGTCAACCGGAAGTGAAATGTTCAATTCTTGGAATAATTAGCATAATGCCACAGCGTCGACCTGAAGTCGCGACGGTGAAAACTAGAAGTTTGGCCGCCTCGTAAAACGGTGAGTTGGTTTTCTTGTTTTCAGTGCAGAAATTCCTTTCCGTACAGGATTTTCGATCCATTTTACTTCAAGAGACACAGTTACGTGTTTTTGGTGTGGTGCTCTCTCAAGATTGACTCTTATTTTTTTGCTATCAAGCCTTTTGGGTTCAGTGTTTTGGCGACAACTGAGAATGAAAGCGCTGAGTCTTTCGACACAAATGTAACACTATAACTGCTTGTTTTTAAGGGGACAACGTTCTCGCTTTAGGATAGTATTTGAAAAATTTAAGAGACGGGAAGTCGAATACATTTTGTAAAAATTGTTGGAAAACAAAAATCTAGGCTTGTAATAAACTTGAACATGTCGGAGAAAATTGAGATCTTGAACAAGACGCCATGGTTAATCTATTATTTTTTATAATTTTATTTTGTTCACTTTCAGTTCAGCGATGGAGCGGTCTGAAGATCAAAATCTCGCCTTAGTACGGAAACTTCTCATAACAGAACCATATCGTTTTAAAGCAAGATCTAGAACAACGGAAAGCGAAAACGTCTGGCAACAAATAGCTGATAACCTGAACTCCGATCATACCCTCAAGTTTCCCTCGACGAAATTTGGTTTTTTTTCAGAGAGAAACTGGAGTCATAGCCGGCAGCACAAATTTTTCTTCCAATAAAAGATCGTTAAGGCATCAATCAAGCAAGACTACACGAGATTTTCTAAAAGACGTCATGGAATTAAAACACGAAAGCATTACTTTATCCTCTCTCGTCAGGCGAGCCGCTTCACCCAACCTGCTCAATCTTAATTTGTTTTTCCCGCGAAGGTGGCGGCGTCCTGGCTCCAGGCTTTCTCCGTTCCCTTTACCGCCGCGTCCAGGGTATCTTAAGGTCCCTATTGTTTCCCTCCTCCACCACCACCACCACCACATTTCTAATGTTTTCCCTCCACTACCACCACCACCACCATCACATTTCCATTGTTTTCCCTCCACTACCACCACTACCACCACCACATTTCTCTTGTTTTTCTGCTAGTGATTTTTTTGTCCTTAGAAAACCGCAAAAAGCCCGTTCTGATAAATTTTGTATTTTATTATTATGATTTTTTGTCACGATATCTCACGTGTTTTATGAGTGGCCAGACTTCTAATTCTGTTTCCGTTAAGCGACTTTTTCTGTAAAAGTATTGCCTTTACCAGAGAGAATATTAGCACTTACCATCAAGGAAATACTGTTGATGAAACGAGCCAAACCCCATTGGTGGAGAACCAGGTCCAGTAAAATGCTTTTTGGAAATAAATTAAAAAATAAAGTATTAAAGGAACTCAGGTACAGAAAAAATTAAGGATACAGACCCGAGATTAAAGATTCGTTTTCAGGCCTTAATGCATTTACACTGTTCTTTGAAAAGCAGTAAGCGAAAGCCATAAATCATATTGGCGATAAAACGACGGCATTATCACGTAAAGAAAATGATATATCTTCCTCTTTGTGGAGCGAGACGAAGTCGAGGACAATGACAATGCAAAAAGAACCAATATCCAGCCGTCTGGATTGAACAAGCTTGGCTGACAAAAGATTTATTAATATATGGTTAAAAAGAAAACTTTTCTCGCAGGAAAACACGAGCGGGCAAGATGCGCTCGATTGGCCAATCAGAACAAAGGATTTGCTTCATCTTGACCGCTCGTGGATTCAGTCGTATAAAAAGTTACACTGTTTACTCATCAAAGACTGCAGTATTAAAGTTGTTGTTTGTCTCTGTGTTTGTCACGTGTGATTTCGCCATATTAAGACCTCTCAAGTATTGAGTGCAACCATTTACTTTTGAGCACGTAAAGGCAAAATTGAAGAATTCAAAAAACCATTCAGGGTTCGTACTCTTTTTACACCAATAATTCCGCCCCAAGGACTTTTCCATTCTCACTTTTCAAGGAATCCATGCCGTGCAAAATCAAGGCAATATTTTTTACTATTTTGTGGTGCTACAATTCTGCCAGTATTGCTGGTTTGCACGTGACGTCACGGCGGCCATGTTGGTGGTCAAGAACAAAAGTATTTCTCTCCTCTAGGAACGAAACTCTATTTTCATGTAAATTCTTCGAGGAAATATTCTTTTGTTTTGACCCCAGTATGGCCGCCTTGTCACGTGGTTGCAAACCAAGAATTAATGTGGTATTAGCCACTTGAAAGTCTGGTTCCAATGAGGTAAGTGGCAAATTTTAAGGCCGTTTTTCCAGCACCAACTGCAATTTTCCAGTACTTTTACGGCTTTGAATTTTTAATTGAAGTTCAAGAACATTCAAGGTGTGAGTGAATCCTGACAATTTTGGTACTTCTCAAGAGGTTTCATGTGAATGGTGAAACTTACAAGGGTATCACCAATGGACTCGATGTCTCAAAGTTGCACTTAGCTACACTTAGCAATAACAGGGATGTCGCTTAGAGCCGGCTGCCGGATAATCTCACCGGGTGAAAAACAAAGACATGGAGTAATGTTGAAGGTATAACTACATCCCATAAGACCCGTGTGAAGTGTCCCAAACTGAACATGTTTACCTGAAGCGGTGAGTCGACCAAAAATCTCTTGAACTGCAATCAAACAAATACAAATAATCTTTTAATGGAATGACATGAATGTCAAAGTCTTCACTACACTGAGAAAACAGAGATACAACTATAACTACCACCGCTGACAGAGACAATCATTTTTATAGCCTGTTCAAGGTTCCAAGATAGTAATGTGCAGAGACGGTGAAAACTGATGCGAAAACTGACGCGACGGGCCTGGGGTTGACAGGAAGTGACGGCGCCCTCTATTTTACCAAAAACGTCCGGTTTGAATTTTCGGCAACTTGCAGTGGCGAATGGAACAGCATTTTCCAAAATTTCCAAAAAAGAGGACAACCTCGCGAGGTATACCTAAATTTTCCCAAAATTTTTCCCGCAAGTTTTCTTTTCATTCAACTTTGCTTCCGGAATTTCTAGAATTTTCGGTTGGATAGTTCGCATTTCGGAGATTCAACAGTTTCCGGAAAATTTCTGTACCATTTGCTGCTGTTTCCAAATTTTCAAAGGTTTTGATTGAATGAAAAGCATTCTCTCTCTCCTGCTTTTCCGGCACCGTTCCCTTCCCCAAATCACGCCCGGCCTTACGTTCGCGACGTCCCTGGCACGCTGTCATTTTTAAAGCCTTTGTTACTACATGTCTAACATTCCTTATGATCATACCTGACGGAATGGCTTTATCACGACTTTTAAGGTATATGATCATACACAGTTTTTAGATTTAGTACAAAGAGGGATAAAACTTTGCTGGTGCCACTAACTCATTCACCTAAGGGACATTGTTATGAATGAAATGAGAGAAATATATATTTTCTTTTTTGTTCAAATCTATGACAAACCCAACAACATATAAATATAGTAGAGTACAGGAGAACAAGTTAAACTTTTTCTCTCGGCCGTTTGAACAACATCACTTTGTGTTTTTTGACGTCTATAGGTCCCATGAACACTATATGGTCATGTGACGTAGTAGCACGGAACCTAATGTAGACTGAACGCGATCTATTGCTACCCTGCGAGCAGTGGTTTCTCCAGGCCGCACGCTACGCTACGAAGGGAGAGCGACCGTTTGCTTCTTTGATGGAGCCGCCGTATCGCCGCCGTACAGCATCATGGATAAATAAATTAACTTTGAACAGGCAAAACCTGTTTAAAAACAAGTCAAGGCGCTCGCGCATTGGCTTATAACTGCTGCCTTAATGCGAGCCTGATGTGAATTTCTCTCAATTTTCTTTTGCTTCCTGCATGAGGAGTTAATTCATTTTTGAAACAGAAATGCATGAGGTTACTATGCTTATGGCATAGTCTCATCTTAGGGAACCAGTCTTAGCATGTTATGTAAATTTTAGTAAATCTTTATAGCGCTGACGTTCTTTTTTTTTAAAGAGCTGGTCTCACAGAAAGGGTTTATGAGAAAAGTCTAACCTGTCTTTCGCCGCATTCGCCGGGGGAATCTTTGTGGATGGCCATTTGATATTTAGCAAATAAATCACAAGTCTGACTGTATGTTGCTTGAAATTCGTCTGAATCGAACTGTACTTTTACTAATTTGACCTGAGAAATTCAAACTCAACGTTAAAACCCCTCAATTCAGGGTTTAAGTTGTCAAAATTAATTTGATTTGGAGGCAATAGATAAGAAGTATTTAGGAATACATCAGTTGTGTATTTTAATGACTGCAACAAAGATCCCCCCTAAAAAGCTTCTGAAAGAGTTGTAAATCACACGGTAGGTAACTATGGTGACCTGATAGATACGTTGTTTAGAAAAACAAAAAAGTCAGATGATACAAGAAAATATTTTAAAAAAATTCTGAAAAATTTCGGCTGCGGAAAAGACAACCATAATGCTTGTCAGTACTAACCGTCAAAGGGAGAAAACTAGTTCAAATATCTGTGGAATAGACCGTTTTAGCTTGAATTTGTTTTCATAATTCAGACCACGTGATGTTCTCCAGGGAATTTGTCTTTCGTCTTTTCATAAATGATCCATACATGCAACTATTTCGAGAAAGGTGTCGGAAAAAGTGCACGCGACAATCCCGAAAGGCATTGTGGGTGGTTTTAAGTTCACTGTTCTTTAAAGAAATTTGAAAGAATTGGTGCGAAAGGCCGCGGAAATGTGTTTGCGAGTGCTAAAGGAAAGCAACCAAAGTAGGTTCAACAGGTACAGTCGTCAGAAAAAGTGTATTGATCATATCCCATATTACCTTTCGGGATTGTCGCGTGCACATTTTTCCGACAACCTTTCTCGAAATAGCTGTATACACATGGATGCAAGTGCATAGGACGACAATTGAAAGAAACAATCCTCTGGGGTAACATTACGTGGTCTGAAATGAGAAAACAACACATACAAGCTAAAAAGATCTATTCGGACCTGACTAATTACGAAGACGAACTAGTGAGCGAGTGAGTAGCCACGCAGACATATTTCTGGTCGTCGCTTCCGTCCACTCGGAAAGCCTCCAGAATAAACTCTAACTATTAAGAGTTTTAAGTATTTCTAAACAAAACCAGAATTCATAAAATATCACATCGCTTTTGAGGATATTTGGTTTACTTGTCCAAACCATAAGGCAAAGTTCGGCACACACTGTACAGTGATTCAACGCAAGAAATAGCAAAACTTGAAAATCAAAACATTTCATCTCTTTCACAGGGAACAGAAGTGTCCTCTGCCTCTTAAAACAACAGAAGATAACAGAAACGTTTATGATTACCCTTTTTTCAGTGCACTTTTCAGGGGGATCTTTGTGAATAGCTCTTTGGTATTTAAAAAACAGAGCTGCAGTCTGTTGGAAAGATTGTTGAAATTCCTCGTTGCATGGATCTGATGGAATAAGCTTAACCTGGAACAAATTTTAATAGTTAAATGCATGTCATATCAGCTATCTTTTTTATTAATGCAGTTCACTGTATGATGGATGTCAAAATACAGTAGAACCCTGGTAACTCGAACCCTGAAGGCAAACCAAAACCAGTTCGCGTCAGCGAGGTTTCGAGTTAACGGGGCCGATTGAAAAATTTAATTTGCCACATTAAAAATTGATAGTTACTGATTTTTCAGCACTTCAGTGTATAGTAGCAGTGCAAATTTCACCTATTTAATCAGAAACGGTAACATAACTAAATTAATTTTTTATGATAAAACGTGATTTGTTCGTTGCACCAATTAAAATCAAATTGAGGTAGTTTTAGTGTTTATACAAAAAGAAGAGTTAATGGGATGGCATCCGAGTGGTGCCACAAGAACCAAAAATCGAGTTATCGGGGTAAATTTCATTGATTTTTGATCAAGGGAAATGAAATTTAGTTCGAGTTAGCCGGGAATTCGAGTTATCCGAGTTCGAGTCATCGGGGTTCTACTATAATACGAAAAATTTTCCATGTGCAGTCAAACTAAGCATAAGGATAGAGCCTCTGGAGTTGGTAAAGAGTCCCAGTGCTGTCATTACAGACAGGAGGTCGCGTTGGGGATTTCCCAAGGCTAGTTGTGAGGAGAGTTCCACTATTAATCAGTACTATCCAGCCAGATTAGTTTATCCTACTTGGTATGCTAGGAAAAAAATGGGTTTTAGTGTAAATTTCAGGGGAAGACTACTCTTTCATTTTGAAATAACGGATCCGAACAGCCAGTTCTGACTTTTGGCAAGCACCCTTGGTGACAGCCCTGGTAGCCTGTGAGCAAGCTCTTCATTTTAGGAGGGCGCGGTCGCGAGAGGTCACCCGTGAGCTTCATGATTAGCCTGTGCGTTCCCTCTCGGCTTGATAAGCTAAAAAAATGGAGAGCTTGCTTGAAGTCCACAGCCCTTGCAACTGCTAATGGGATAACCTGGATTAGGATGGCCTACTGTAAGTGCTAGGCATTGAAGGGGAAGCGAAAGGAGGAATTAAGGGCGACAAGTACATAAATGGTGCGCCCCCATCAAGTGAACCCTTGCACTCCTTCACGTCACGTTTCCCCTAACTTTTTCATGCCTGCCACACAGGCTACCTATACGATGTGTCTGCTTACAGCCTGGTGTGTCCGATTGTTGAGATCTGACTCCAAATCAATGCGTACTTGATGAGTATATGAGCACTTGTCACCCTCATATGCAGCTTCTGCTGGTTCTCTCCAAGCCTATGCTTTGTAAGGTGTTTCTCTGAGTACCTCAGTGGTTTTCCTCTCCGAAAAAACAAACATCTTCAAAACTAAACTCGACCCAGAATGCCTAAACTCAAGTTGAATAAGTTATTGAGAGGTTTTAAGCGCTCCAGGTGTGAATGAAGACAAAAAAATAAATAATCTTTGAGGAAACAAATTCCAGTTCAGTCTCCAACCGAGGCTTCAGACTCCAATTACTATCATTATTATTTTTATTATAAAAATTGCACCTTAAGGTTGTGAACTGGTGTCTGGCTGGGTAATCTGTCAATCACAAGGTCTTCCAAAGATTTGACAACTGGCATCTTAGAACTGCTTGACCTTGCACACTTCTAGATATTTACAAAAAATTAGCATTAACCCATATATGCCATATATGCTGAATAAATAAAATGTACAGTGTACCCACACAACATAAATTTTTTTAAGGCACTATTCATTAAAATTTTATTATAATCTATGGATACATGTAATTACAATGGGAAGGCAAGGTATGTTGAGTAGGGAGAAATCACACTTTGTTCACCCACTACCGCACACTCTCAAGTTGTGTGCGTCATGTTCAAAGAGGAATGGGATGAGTCCAATGTCATCTAGGGCTTTCAAGAGTGATGATTAAAGCCTTACTAAGAAAAACTACATGTATCTACATTGTACTGGTATATGAGCACGCATTGCTAGTAGAGGGGACATGCAAACTTACAAAAAGAACATGTATGTACACCAGAGTTCTGCCAGTGGTCAAGTGACAGTGATATAAATGACATGGCAATGCTTTCTTACTATGGCTTGTTTTTAGTTGGTAAGTGTGCCATTTCTCATTGGCCCACTGTAGTATGGGGGTACCTGGTGTAATCTCCCTTGTCTTGTCACGCAATGCTCCTCCCCAACAAAACGAGACAAAAACAACTGTAAAGGAGACTAGGAGGTAACAACATACATGTTGTACTTACAGCTGTACTTTGTGTGGTCACATGACAACCACAATATTTGTTGTGCATAAACAGATACCAGACGTTCATACCCTGGCTGTACATTGCACATGCCCCCTAACATCTACAAATGTACTTGCATGAGCCAGGTGATTGAAATATACACTTAAACTGCCTTGACCTAAACAAAATAATACTCCGCAATACCAAATTGACAAAGTGTACGGATAAAGGAGAAAACATGGATAAGAAAACATGTCATGTTTGATACAAGAGTATATTACAAGGGTTGTCCAAGGTTAGAAGACAGTGATTCATACATGTACATATATGCCTACCCCTTGGTGTCTGCCTAATGCAAGTTTCTCTCTTTTCCGTTCTAAACGAACGATCTTGGCTTTCCGACAACGAGGCTTGTTTGGATCTGGTCCTAATCCAGGTTCTACAAAAAGAGAGAAGAGTTACAGCTGTATAGCAATACTGTGATTAAATCATTTTCTCACTAAACAATCCTACTGCTAAAGGTTGCGATGCTTTAATAGTAAAACTGATAGGAAACAATGATACAACTCCATTTCATTTTACAGATGACAATCAAATAAAACACTAAGTAATTAAGGGTTTCCAAGTAGTTTTCTAATGACCTTTGTACTACTTTGGCAGGAGTTAGGTAGTCCAAGTCATTTCACATTCAATAACAAAATACAGGGTTGGTTATCATCACACTTGAGCAAAAGTTTGAAATGATTTGAACTTGGGAAGATTTGGGGTCCGAAAGTGGTTCTGCAGTACATACCTGGTGTTTTGCCTTTTGGGTGTTTGCTTTTCTTGACCCTTTCATCCACTGATTTTTCCATTGAAGATGGTTCCTGGCTACTAGTTGTTTTGCCCAGGTTTAAGTCATCTCTCTTGCCTACATTACCTTTCATTTTTAGTTTATTGATGTTGATATCTTCAACTTTATCAACCACTGATGGTAATTTGCCCAAGACAGGCTCAACAAAAGCTGCACTGCTAGCCTCACATATTTCTGAAGGCCCATCTTGTTGATCTTCTTCACAATTTGCACTTGTGCTTGCTTCTGGAATTTAAAATTTGCTCACTAGTAAACGGAAAAGTTGATCAGCTTCAAACAATATACAAACAGTGAAAAAAAAACTGGTTTTACTGAAAAACATGACAGAGAGAGCAAGCTGAAAAAAATCTCTTCAGATCTTTGATCTCTGGAGATTGGCAGAAGTACAAGTAAGTGAAGTGATTATGCTAAAACTTAAAAGAGAAAGGAAAAGGTTTAGGTGGGGAAAAGTTTTGAAAAAAATAATAATTATAATATAGTTTACGTAATCATGTTTATGATTCAGTATTAAGGTATTTCTGTTTCTTGCTACCCTCACTCACAAATTTGCTTTTTTTTCAATTCAAATCTCACACAGCTCTAAAAAGATAACAATTAATGTTGGGATCATTACCTGTCTTAGGAACAGTAAGGAACTTTGTCATTTTTTTAAGAACTTTCTTTTGCGACTTGGAAGGATGGAAGGCAGTAGCATTGCATCTGGGAAATAAAGAGAAAAATTAATAGATAAATATTAAATAAAATGATCAACTATAAAAATAATAATATTAATAATCAAAGGTATTTCTTTTGTTAAAGTCAGTGGAGCCGCCTGGCTAGCTCAGTTGGGAAAGCGCCGGTCTGCCGAGCACGAGGTCCGCTTAAATTGAAAATCCACACTTGCGCATGCTACTTTACATATCACACTTTCTTCGTATAATCTCGTACCGGCACTTAAAGACACTGCCAACAAATGCACCTGTGCTTGGGAACTCAAGAAACCATTTATCTTTTGTTTCATTATGCTGCATTCAGACAAAGATAAATGAACAATTTGGGTTGAGTATGCTGTTGGTTCTCGCCCTTGCTCCAAGAAGTTTTTTTCCAGGTACTCAGATTTTCCCCTCTCTTCAAAACCAACATTTACAAATGGCAATTACATGTGGATCAGGGATAGTAGACGAAGAACCACTAAGTGCTACCTCTACCATAAATCGTTATTAGTAATTAACTATTTACTTGTTTGTGACGATAGTTTTTATGGAAACAAATTCTTCTAGACAATAATAATATTATTGTTCAGGAAAAACATTTTTTTCAACTTTTTTAGCAATTGTCATCACTCTTTGCAAAATTTTAATTGTTTTGACTTTGAATTTAAATTTTTTGGGCAAAAGTATACTTGACCTAGATTGATTAATTGAATGAAATCCTTTGCGGGCTAAAGTAGAAAAACCTGAGCTGTAAAATTACCAGATAGAAACTACGTATAGATTGTTTTTTTCTTGTTAAAAAAGTCTCCTCTAGGAACTTTTGTTAACCTGGAAATTTGCTAGTAAGAAAAACATTGTTATGCAAATAATAATTTCCAATAATAATTACCAATAATAATTATGCAGTCTAAGGAAGTTCACATACTTGATAGTGTACATTGGACAGCATAATTTTTTCATAGTTGGTTTATACAAATATTTACCACTCCTGTAAGAGACAAACAGTTTTATACATAAATTATGCAGGCATGATAGGCCATCCCATGGGTTTAACCCCAAAGCCATCCACGGATATGCTCCCAGGGGGAGGGGGAGTGGGGTACTCTGGATTTCAAGTGACAGGGAAATTAAATGGTTGCAACAGATGCAAACCATAGACTTGTGGATTAGAAGATAAAAAGTCCAAACAATGTTCTGAAATTCTTGGAAACGTAAACTCCTTCTAAAGACATTGCAAATAAGTCTACTCCAAGTCTTTGGATAGTTTTCCGAGCAGTACAAAATAATAATATTATTACAATTTACATGCCACATCTGCATTTCTTGCACACAACTTGCAATGTTATAAACCCTTCGATTCAATTCTGCAGTCTGCGAAATATTACTGTCTTTGACTCGATCCAGCTTGCATGTTTCGTGACTCCTTTTGTTGGGGACTGATCGTTTATTACATCCCAGAGGGCTGCAGGGGTTTCCAGAAGAGTGGTGTATCAAAACTTAAACCCCCCAAAATAATTACATATGAAAATTGTACCCCGGGCAATAACAATCCCCGCTCTAACCCCTTCTAGAAAAAGTCTCTTCTTCCAAACTTGGGCATTGATTTCATAAGCTATAAGATGGCGGTAGTCAGAAGCGTAGCATGAGATTTTGAAGGAGAAGAAAACTTAGTGCACCGAAGGTGCCCCAAACCTGGGGGAGTACCCCCAGAAAATTTTTCAATTTAGGGTCTTGGAAATGTCATCTCCTGTATTTTCTGCAGGACATTCTCAGTAAATATTGATGAAGGAAAATGCAGTAATTAGTTGTTTATTTTACCCATTTCTAGTGTTATCAGTAAGGTACAGAGTTGACATGCCGCCATAAAGGAGGTTACAAGCAAAGGGCGAGATGTGTTCCTTTCAGACAGGCAAACTCTGTTATAATGCCATCAATATCAATTACGTCCTTGTGATCATATGCAGAATTACAAGAGAGCTCAATCTCGTGTCTGTCATGGTCCTTTGTAAAGGAGTTTGCAGTCTCTTCATACTACTGAAGCTACACTCATCTGTGAATGTTGACACAGGATAAGTCAACAAAGTCATGAGAGCCCATGCAGTGCTCGACACTAATGCTAGTCCACTAGCCCAGGACTAGTGAAAATTCATGCTGGGCTAGTAAAAGCGTACTCCCACTTAAGCCACTGGACCAGATTAATGAACAAAAATAATGTTCTTCATGTTTTCTAAAATGCTTTACCAGTAGTTTTAGCAGAAGCTTTTCAAAGATTTGCCACCAACTTGAAGGGAATTTGTAAATGATCACCTATGATTATAGAACCATGCTCGACCTGTAGTCAAGCATATCATTGTGATCACAGCATAACTGAGCCAATAAACAAAAGATTATTACTATACTAAAGGCATTTGAATATATTTATATAGATATTTGTGCCTTATAATTTATTAATAATTAATTAAGGTTACTACATGTAATCATTTTCATGTCTTCCAACACAAGACATTCAGATTGCCTCTTAAACTCTGGACTGACAAGAAACAAAGCAACATAAGCCATTCGTTTTATCACTGTTGATGTCTACTCTTTTTGCCTCTTAAGTTGAATTTTCATGAAAATTGATTTATAAACTGTTTTACACCTTTTGCTGTTCATTACGAGAAAATACGCAATCATTTGCGTGAAATGGCGACCAATAGTGCGAAGATACATTCATTAGCGGGAAAAAGCGAACATTTGCGCATAAATCAGATTCAATTACGATTTTTGTATTTTAATCAACATTCAATAACACTTTTGGGCATTCATATGCATCTTTGAACATACAAAAGAGAGAAATGTACTTTCATTAACGCCAACATCAAAGTCATTAACACCATCTTGAAAGTCAATAGGGACAACTGACATACATTAAAGTGCAGACACTATTCATTAACATTTTTATGACACTGTTTGCAATTCAATAGCATTCCTGGACAACCTTAGGATGGATAAGACAAACATTAATGTACTTGTACAATCGATTGAGTGTTCTTTCAGACAACTTAACTCCTTTTCAACGATGTCGAGGGGGGAAGCATAAGCTGTGTACGTATGGAGCGGGAATGGCCAAATCTAGGTGGCTGGCACCCCGTCATACGCAAAGACCACCGACTTATCGGGATCCATTTTTTCCTCGTCAGTGTCAGGAAGTCACCGAAAAACCGACACAGTATTCATTACTCTGGCAGCTCCCGAGACAAACATTTGATAGGTAATATTGCCATGGTCATAGTCAAGTTTCGTCCTAGCTGTACGCCCTCCACTCCCTGTCGCGCCCCACCATGACTTCTGGCCGTCTAGGGTAAATGTATAGCCGCAGCCGTCGCCGAACACACAGTAGCGAAGTACGGCGTGATTCTTTAAACAAATTCAGACCAATTTTGGGGGGGAATTGGTATTGTTTAATTGAAAACATATTTTTGTATATTAAATGTAAAGAACGCTCAATTGATTGCGCAAACGCATTAATGTATGTCTTATCCATTCTGAAGCTGTCCAGGAATGCTATTGAATTGCAAACAGTGTCATAAAAATGCTAATGAATAGCGTTTGCACTTAAATGTTTGTCTATTTTCCCTAATGATTTTCAAGATAATGTTAATGATTTGAATGTTGGTGTTAATAAAAGTATATTTTTCTCTTTTGTATGTCGAATGATGCAAATGAATACCCAAAAATGTTATTGAATGTTGATTAAAATGCAAAAATCGTAATTGAATCTAATTTACGTGCAAATGTTCGCTTTTTTGCGCTAATGAATGTATCTTCGCGCTATTGGTCGCCGTTTCACGCAAATGATTGCGTATTTCCTCGTAATGAACAGCAAAAGGTGTAATAAAGAGTTGAAAACTAACCCCCACCTCCCCTAGTACTTTTTTTTTGGACCAGTGACTTGTCCTTCTGGGCTAGTGATTTAATTCACTCACTAGCCCATTGCCTAGTGTCCAAAAAAGTTGGTGTCAAGCACTGCCGTGACATATACTCCGTGATAGAATTGGAGTTAGCTTGGTCAAAAGTCTCAACCAAGGTCTGTGGCTTCACATTCAGATCCATTTCACTCCATAACCAGTAAAAGGATAAAGGAAATCCTAGCACAAAAACACCAATATAATGCAAAATATTTATGTTGATTTAATGATAAAAATGCTTTCAGGTTATAAAAAAAATCTATATATTTTTTCTAGATTTCGGCTGTATGCATTAATGTATATACACACATGCATGCTACATTCCTGGTACGAGAAATAGTTGATAGGTTCCTGGGCCGAGCTTTATATGGGTAACATTTTGTTGCTGACAAAGAACCGCCAAAGTGTATTTTTTGGTGTTCTTTTGAAGAAACGTGGATTTGCTTCAATCATAATATAGTTTGACAACTTTTACATAGAAGGCCAGTCCTGTGTCTTAATATTTCGAACCCCCTCACATTCTGTTGATTTTTAAAATTGACCCCCTTAAAATCATGCCTCTTACAAAACTTTACCCCGCCCCCCTCCCCCCCGTCTGGGACGCAACAAACGATCGGTCATTTACCATAACAATTCTACAGTGTAATGCATCAGTCAATTCCAGCTGCACCCTCCAAAGGTAAGCAAGACTTATTACAAAGAGAATTGTTATGTAAGTTTCTGCAAACAAACAAACAACACTGAACATAATTACAAACCTTCTCCATCCTCTATCAATAAGATCCTGATAATCCAAGCATGTTAGCTTATGAGCCCACATCCCTTAAAAAAAATGAAAGGTTTAAGTTGGAAATACAACCATTTCTATACGCTCTCATGCATAAGGCTAAGCATAAAACCGTTGCTGCAACGAAGCTTAACTAAACCCAAAGTGTGCTGCAGGTGGAGTATACTTTCCGTTCTTTGGATTGGCGAGAGAAACCAGGGTGTATAGACTTTCTCTCACCAATAAACAATTCTGGAAGTAGACCAGTTTTGCAGTTTGCAAGCAGGGAATTTACAAGCAACGACGTTGCAACTGGTATGGAAGAAGGCTTACCATGCGAAAAATTAGTATCGCTGCTATTGCAATAACCACATCGATGGCCTCCTGAATCTCCAAAATATTCGACAATGCTATGGTTTGCCATTGTACATGAACCGGTGACCTAAATGAAAGTTAAGCTACGGAAGTAAAAAGGAGGAGATCTGGGAAGAGTGAGTAGCTTTAGAGTAGCTCCGCTGGCCAGTAACATCATCACGGCATCTCGCACCCGATTCACACGGAGGGTACTGGGTATCACCCGTAAAAATGATGCCCAAATTACCGGGTATCACCCATCAAATTACGTACTATAGTACGACTAAGTCAACGACTAATATGGATGGTGCAATATGATGGATAAACGTGCATGTAATTCACCTTTATCCCTCATATTACACAATCCGACACAGCACATTGAGGTTAGATTACGTTTAACGTGCAAAGCAGTATTTAATGGGCCGGTAAGTTGTTTAAAAGCCTTTATTTTGTTTTCATAATATTTTATTCCTTTACGTTTTTCGCCTCGTAGTCGTTTTGCCTTGCAGTCAGCCCATACCCGGCCACTTATTTATAATAAGTTTGTTCTGTTGTTGACCAGTTCATTTGGTTGCAGGAAGAAGCGCTTTAAGGCTGAAATTCAAGTTCGCTATCACGATCAGGACACTGCAGTGAGAAGGAGCGAAAAGCTTATTACCGGTAATGGGCTGTATTAATGTGACTAATGTTGATAAGCAAGATGGTCACGACGATTTCAACGTGGATGTAGGTGATTTGTGCTGAGGATTTCGATGTCAGCGATGAGCCAGCAATATCTTCATCTGTAAGCTTAAATACTCGTCATTATGAAAGATTGCAAAGAGCAGAAGATACATGGGCTAAGTTACGGCAAGCTGCTCTTTCGACCACTTTCTAGAAGGAAGGTTCGTTTGTGAACAGCACGTTACTGAGGTGTCACTTCTGTGACTCGGAAAGTGGCATTTGTCGTTCCTTGGACTGTAGTGCAACAGCAAAGTTTTGTGAATTTTGTGCTACATCAATGCACACCGAAGTAAATATTCTCCATAGTGTGGAAATTCTTAAGGTACGTAAGTTGGTCTGAAGGTTTCCACAACAGAGTAGATTCGTAGCTGCCAGACTCTTAATTACCTGCTTCACCCGGCTGCTTTAAATCTTTGTACTTGTAAAGCTGATGTTTATAAGCTTAAAATAGCCCCAGATTTTATTTGTCATTTTTCATCTTTGAACTATGTTGCTTGTCAGTTATTACAATGTCTTTTAACTGGAGTATTTACCAAATGTTAATATCTGCAGTAGCAGGCCAGGTTTTGCTTTTAGATCCTTAAATTATGTGCATTAGAAGCTCATGGTTTCCTTGGTTGTTATTTTTTTTTAGTATTAATGAAGCTATATCGTGCTTACATTGTAAATTACAATCACTTTTGACCACCTTGCCAGATCAGAGATTAGTTTCTCTGAGAGCAAAGCAAACAAACGTTAAGCTCGGCAAGATAGGATCGGAGAAAACTAATATCATTCATGTGTATCGCTTAAATTAAGGATCATGCAGGGGAGTTTTAAATCAAATCACTTTGGTTTATTAATCTATTTAAACACTAAAACAAAATGACCTGTTAGTCAATTAATTAATGTTTGAATTTTTATTCTTGGTTTAATACATGAAGTGCCATATACTATCATGACTTATTGTTATTCTAGGAGGAGAATATAATTATATATTTCCCTTTGATCTTAGCAAGAACCCTGGTGCTGAACGGACATCAGTGCCCATCTGTTCATTTTCGTAATGTTTCTACCGTAGATTCTCGAGGTAAGGAAAAAGTCTTTTTATGTGTCAACCCCATGCATGATCTAGTAAAGCAGATCAGATGTAGCTCTAAAGCTGTTTTTTGTGTTTGTTCAATATATATGTATGCGACTTTGCTTGTAATTAGTTAAACATGTAATGGAAAAATGTACAGTATAACACTAAGCAGTATGCAATTTTATATTAACAAAAATGTCAGACATGATGTACATCCCTAATATTAATGTACACAAAGACGGAATAGACGTACTGAACCATAGAAGAAAAATGTAATTTTATTGTGACCAACAGTCAACCAACAGGCAACCTGACAGTGGGCCAACTGTTTATCAACTGTCGATCAACAATTGGTCGACAGATCTAGATACAATGCATACCATGGGTATGAATTGTCATGAAAGTACTTATATATATATTAGCCTGTTGTTTGGCTACTTGGTTTTTATTGTTTTCTCTGATTTAATCTGGTGCCTATGGTGTATTAATTATCTTTGACATGTATGCAAGTGTTTATATATGTGCACTGATCTGACTGCAATTGTTGTTTAACAATTACTCATATAGCATGAACATCAGTTAATATCCCTTTTGTTTTTTCTTTCTTACAGGATTTCAAGTGGTTGTTGCTGCTCAGTTTGTAGTTGTGAACCTGATTTTTTACGTCTACTTAGGTTCAATTTTTGGGTGCGAGACTTATTTAATAAGTAAGACTTATTTAATATAATATTATAGTAATAGACTAGTTGTTTCCTTATATATTATTCAGTGAAGTGGAGGTGGCTTGTGAATATTTAGCGAGCTGCATTTGAAGTGCTAGGTTAGGTGAATAGTATTGTTTTACTATGTACACACTGTGCTAAAACAATTACATGATATATAATTGAGCTCACGAATGAAACAGAATTTAATTGCCATCTTTGTGAACGTCCAGATCACAGCTTCTTCATTATAAATATGGTAGCAGAATAACTGGTGTGAATAAGCACTGGGTGGTTTGAGTAGCCAAACAAAGAGCAAAAAGCACCAATTATATCCATTTGTTAAGTGTATAATGATACTTACTGTCAGTAGTTGATATTTTTATGTCACAGCTGGTCTCTCCTATATAAAGATGAAGCGAAGCTCCTAGCTAATCATAGTGCTCTATTTTCAATAATCATCAATGTAGTTATGCTAATGGTATGTATTATGATATCAGTGGTTGACATTACCTTATTGTCGATTGGTGGTTGGATAGTTATCACTGTAGATGGTCAGTGATTCGTCAAACCTGATCATGGTATTGATGCTACATGTGTATGAGAGGTGTGGCTGCACTGAGAATAACCAATGGGATGTGAACTTTTTATTACAACATTCCTTTTGTAGACATCTTTTAAGGGAGTTATTACATGTAACACTCTTTCCCATGTGGTGACCTGTACATTGTACTACTGCATAGACAATATTTAACTCTGATGGTTCACTAACCATTAGGTTACTTCTCAGCATTTTGTATTGTATTGTCATTTTGAATCAGGCTGGAACGCGTTTTATTTGAATTGGAGAACACAGATGGTGTAAGTCAGCGCTGTACCACTTCTTGTGTGGAGTATACAACGGTATGAGATGCTGCTTGTGACAGAAGCAAAAAGGTGGCATTGGTCGATCTGCATACTAAAGTTATTGAGCGGTGGTTCTTGTTGAGTTTGATATTATTTGATATATGATAAAAAGTGTAATCATAACTATAACAAAGTTCTCAAATCTGACTGGCTATCAACTGTCCTGATTTCAAGGACAGTACGCACCATCACGCGCGCGCTTAAATGTTTTTTTTTTTTCGTTGCTAGCCGAAAAAAGATTGGAATTTCTTGTGTTTCGATTTAAAAAAAGAGCCTTATATATCACAAGTTTTGTTAAAGTTATGATTAATTTTTAACAGAACTTCCTGTGGTCCAATTTGGTCTGTAATCATGCTCATGATTAAACAAATCAAACTCCCGCAACTCGGTCCTCCGATTTTGTTAAGCACTCGTATGATTACAGACCGAATTGGACTCCACTCAGTCGTGTTACCATTACTAATTGTTGCGGTTATGATTCCAAGCTGCTAGAACGCATTCTTGAGAAACAAGGACATGGTCCGTTTTCATGAAACGTTTGATTTTAGTGACCCATTAAAAGCAGTGTCTTTATGATTTCTTTAAACCTGCCATCACGGCGCTATCAACGTAGTACAGTTTTGCTTTGTCGAAAATATAGGCCAGGGCATAAAATAACTTGCTAGTCCTGATGCTTTTTAGCCTCCCACGCAGGCGTTTTTAGGGGAGCTCGTATTTCTTCCCTCCCCACAAACGCCTGCTCAACTGAAGACAACATTCCTTTCCCAAGCTTAGCCAATCACATTGTACTTTCCAAATTCTGGAAAGTTGACCTTGACCGCAAGGTAATCTGATAATTACTCGATCTGCCTTAAACACTGGGAAAGCTTTCTGACCTGCAATAAATGTTAGATTCAGAGCGGCAAAAATAAGATTTAGTCAAAATTCAGAATACTCCGTGCACTGCATAACCTTAGCGAAGGAAAGAAAAGAAGGAAAACGGTAACTCTAGGGTCACGTTCGGTCGTGTTTAGCCTGTCAACACTTTATTGCACAATTGTTTATTGGTCACTTACCACGCAAATAAAACAATGAGAAAGGAATGTTGTTTTCCGTTGAGCAGGCGTTTGTGGGGAGGGAAGAAATACGAGTTCCCCTAAAAACGCCTGCGTGGGAGGCTAGATGCTTTTGGGCTCGAGGACTAGACAAGTGTCAGGAATTTCCCGTCTTAACATTACGGGGTTTTGTCTTTTCACTTACTGTTTGATTTTATCTTTTTCTTGGTTTTTTCTTGGAACTGTCTTCTGTCCTTATCACTTAGATGGCCATGACCTTTCCAAACGGCTTTCCAAGCAAATTTGTCCAGCAACAAAGAGCATGCGAACCGCTCTAGATAAATTCAACAACCTAGAATGCAGTAATGCTTGCCCATTCCCACGCTCCTTGGAGTTCGATCAAGTGAAGAACCCGGAAGCAGACGTTTGGTTACGATCGGAGTTTGTTGGTTCTGACTCGCCAGTACCCATAACCGTTAGACGTAGAGCAATCGATCTGTACCATCTGCTGGATAGAGCTAAAGAAGAGGTGACCTTACTTCAGGAAGAGATGAGAAACGTAGTTGAACACTTCAGCGGGCAGCACGCGACGTTTTCCAGTTCGTTAAAAGATGCCACGATATCTCCTTTGTCCTTAGAGGAGTTAGGGAAAAATATATTTCCGAAAATGAAACTGGTGTCTTTGGAGGGACAGCTTTTAGAGGTGAAAAGAGTTTTCCAAGGTCACATCGGAGAAGTCCCTCTCCCGAACTTAATTTTTGATCGAAACAGTATTCCGTTACAGGACGATGAAAACGAGGCTGACGAAGTGTCTGAGTTGTTGCTAACCCTCCCGGAAACAGAGGAGGATGAAGTGGACAGTGAAAAAGAATGCGAGAGCGATTATGACGATACCGACAGCACTTTTTTTAGTTCTTCGGGAATATTGCTTTAAACTAGAAAAGCGTTAACTATTCCACTATATTTCGGGCTCCTCTGGACCTCCGCAATCCTACTGTCCACGTTGCTAGTCTGCATGAATTATAGGGCGAAGTACGCATTTGGGACTCTCAATGCTCCCATTTTCTAGTAAATGAAAATTGTCAAGCACCTGAATCAATTGTTGTGAAATCGTTGTTTTCCTACTAGTTCTCATCGACTATCGTGCCAAGAACGCTTTTCTCGCTATTTCATCCAATTTTCTAATGAATGGGAAAATCCTGCTCCTTAATATCGCGCTTTCAAATTAGTGTGTGGGGTAAACATGCGTAATTTTTCCTGGTTAGCTGGAAATAAGTGTGTGTGTTTCAACAGCTACAGTAGACAGACACATAAAAACCAAGTGGATTCAGGGGCACTAAAAAGGAGCACGGAAAATACTTTTAGGCTATCCCAAGTACTTTTAGATGTCTTGAAATGCCTTGCATTCTAAGCGGCCCTATATAATTTGTATCTATTCGGAGCTCCTAGAAGAAATTGAGTCTTTTCGAAATTACGAGGGTTTTAGTATTATTTTCCGAAAGAGATATTTTACAGAAAACAGTCGTTGGGTGCCGCTGTTTGTGGATTGAGAATCTCCTGTTATAAATTTGCAACTGTCATGCCAAAAATACAAGAACCTTTTGGCCAAGTTACTTGTAGGTTAAGAAGGTTGTTAAGTGTGCGTTGGAGTTTAATTATCCTAAACGTTTTAACCAATGAGTTTGGATTTGAGAGTGCATATTTATATTACATGAAAATAAGGTCACGGTAACAAACTGTATTAAGTAATAAAAGTATCAATGTAAAAAGGTTTATAAAAGACAAAATAAGTACATGCTGTAATTTTGTCTTCATAAACGGGCATCGTATAAAGGAGATTGCAATGAATATTTGTCGATAAATATTGTCTATGTTGAAGTTACTTTTTATCTCAGTTATTTTTTGGTATGGTAATGTATGCTAATGAAGTTGAAAAATGAAAATTACCCGAGATAAAAAAAAATGAACTTTAATACGTATATATATGTCAGGACAAGACTCACGTTTGTTAATTTTTTCTATTAGTCAACAACTATATCTCTTTTATAGAAATTGAGAATTCAACTGAAGAGAAGTACCTCTAAAATACAAGAACCTAACTTTGATCTCCTAAACTAAGGATCCCCTCGAAAATAACGGCTATGCGAAAGTAACGTCAATTTGCTACCTTCCGAGTAACCCCGAAAGTAGCTACTTGTAAGGCCCCAAGTAGCAGCCCTTTAAAAATTACCCCTCAATTACAACTTCAATAAAGTTGTTTATTGAATTCATTTCTTTCTTGATTTAAGCAACTGAAACGGGAAAATATCATTCTTTTTGAAAAAAATTGGAAGTTTTCCATCAAATCGGTCGTTATTAACTAGTTATCGCATTTTGTGACCTATGAGGATAAGTCATGACTTTGAATGACTTGGTAAAAAATGAGTGGTTACAGCATTTTTTTACCGGATAACCGAGAAAATATACAAAAATTACCTTTTTGTCGGGATTTAGTTGTGTGTACATCGTTTCTTTTATTGAATGTTGAACCAGTGCGCTCTTTTGATTTTTCAGCACTTCCACGGTTGCCGTAACATCGGGCTGTTTCCGCCAACAATGCATTTAGGGCACTTCGATCCCATTTTGCATTTAAATCAGGTTGTTTCCTTCATTTTGCATTATGGCACTTTAATGCTTTGTCGTAAAATCTGGCCGTTCCCTCTAGTTTCCATGAAAGGTTTGCTCAACAGTGCATTTTAGGCACTTAGATGCTTTGCCACGAAAGGTTTGATCAAGGTGCATTTTGGGTCCCCTTACGTTTGCATGAACGACAGGGTCAACAGCGCATTTTTGGGCACTTGGATGCTTTGCCGTAAAATCGGGCCGTTTCCTGTAGTTTCCATGAAAGATAGGGCCAGCAGTGTAATTTTGGGTACTTAGATGATTTGCCGTAAAATGGGGCCGTTCCTTTCAGTTTCCATGAAAGACAGGGTCAACAGTGCATTTTTGGGCACATAGATGCTTTGCCGTAAAATCGGGCCATTCCCTCTAGTTTCCATGAAAGACAAGGTCAACAGTGCATTTTTGGGTACTTAAGATGCCCTGCCGTAAAATCGGGCCGTTCCCTCCAGTTTCCATGAACGATAGGGCCAGCAGTGTAATTTTGGGTACTTAGATGCCCCGCCGTAAAATCGGGCCGTTCCCTCCAGTTTCCATGAAAGACAGGGTCAACAGTGCATTTTTGGGTACTTAGATGCCCTGCCGTAAAATCGTGCCATTCCCTCCAGTTTGCATAAAAGACAGGGTCAACAGTGCATATTTGGGTACTTAGATGCCCTCCCGTAAAATCGGGCCGTTCCCTCCACTTTGCATGAAAGATAGGATCAGCAGTGCAATTTTGGGTACTTAGATGCTTTGCCGTAAAATCTGGCCGTTTCCTCTAGTTTCCATGAAAGGTTTGCTCAACAGTGCATTATAGACACTTAGATGCTTTGCCGTAAAATCTTGTCGTTCCCTCTAGTTTCCACGAAAGGTTGGATCAAAGGTGCATTTTTGGGTTCCCTTACGCTTGCATGAACGACAGGGTCAACAGCACCTTTTTAGGCACTTTGATGCTTTGCCGTAAAATCGGGCCGTTGCCTGTAGTTTCCATGAAAGATAGGGCCAGCAGTGTACTTTTGGGTACTTAAATGATTTGCCGTAAAATGGGGCCGTTCCTTTCAGTTTCCATGAAAGACAGGGTCAACAGTGCATTTTTGGGCACTTAGATGCTTTACTGTAAAATCTGGCCGTTCACTCTAGTTTGCATAAAAGACAGGGTCAACACTGCATTTTTGGGTACTTAGATGCCCTGCCGTAAAATCGGGCCGTTCCCTCCACTTTGCATGATACATGGGTCAGCAGTGCAATTTTGGGTACTTAGATGCTTTGCCGTAAAATCTGGCCGTTTCCTCTAGTTTCCATGAAAGGTTTGCTCAACAGTGCATTATAGGCACTTAGATGCGTTGCCGTAAAATCTTGTCGTTCCCTCTAGTTTCCACGAAAGGTTGGATCAAAGGTGCATTTTTGGGTTCCCTTACGCTTGCATGAACGACAGGGTCAACAGCACCTTTTTAGGCACTTAGATGCTTTGCCGTAAAATCGGGCCGTTGCCTGTAGTTTCCATGAAAGATAGGGCCAGCAGTGTACTTTTGGGTACTTAAATGATTTGCCTTAAAATGGGGCCGTTCCTTTCAGTTTCCATGAAAGACAGGGTCAACAGTGCATTTTTGGGCACTGAGATGCTTTACTGTAAAATCTGGCCGTTCACTCTAGTTTGCATAAAAGACAGGGTCAACACTGCATTTTTGGGTACTTAGATGCCATGCCGTAAAATCGGGCCGTTCCCTCCACTTTGCATGATACATAGGGTCAGCAGTGCAATTTTGGGTACTTAGATGCTTTGCCGTAAAATCGGGCCGTTCCTTCCAGTCTCCATGAAAGATAGGTTCAACAGTGCAATTTTGGGTACTATAGATGCTTTACCGTTAAATCGTGCCGTTCCCTCCAGTTTGCATGAAAGATTGGGTCAGCAGTGCATTTTTTGGTACAGTCGAACCTGTATTTAACGGCCATGTAAGCGTCCACCCTCTAGTAAGCCGCCAGTTTTCAAAGTCCTGCTTTTTCGCTCATACAAACCCTGTATTTGTTACCTGTATTATGCGGCCACCCTGTAGTCTGTGTAGTAGTCCTATGTTTGTCTTTCTTTGTTATTTTTAGTTGTATTTGGCGGCCACTAAGCGATATGTCATTCTATGCATTATTTCATGGTGTTTAAAATGCGATCCATCATGACTATAGAAAACTAACATGTACAATCCCGGGGTACAAAGGTACTCTAAGCTGATACTCGGGCGTTTAGTATCATTAACGCTTTTCAGATGTCCTCAGATTTATTGCATAGTACTTTTACATAATGTTACGTATTTTATACCGTTAAGGTACCAGTTGGCACCGAACTTTGTTTCAAGTATTGATCGCTTGAAAGAGTTTTGATTGTCGTATTGTTTCCTTGGCATTAAAACACGCCCGGTGAGTTTTCTTTTATCCTGTATTAAGTGGCCAGTTCCTCAAGTCCCGAAGGTGACAGTTACACACTGGTTATATACAGGTTCGACTGTATTTGGATCCTATTTACTAGTCTATGGCAGTTAGTCTGGCGCTTCGATGACCTGGCGAACAAACAGGCTGTTCCTTTCATTTTGCATAAAATATAGGGCCAACGATGCCTTTTTGGCACGTAGATCCCATTTTCAAGTAACTGGAAAATTGCCTGGCACTGATAGCGGTCGTAAATTCAGAGTGTCCCTCCTTTTTTCATGAAATGTAGGGTCGAACAATACATTAGTGGTACGTCTCATTGTCAAGCTAATGTGAAACGTTCGTGTACTTTACTGAGCTGCCAATTGCCAAGTTTGGGTGTGTTCCTCTATTTTTTATGGGATGTCATTGTTTAAGACTGCGAAATCACCTGGCAGTCCAAATGAATTGTTGAGAAATCTGTTTCCCTCCACTAGCTTCACTTCTTCGTGTAATATTGGGACAAATGCGCTGGCTCCCTTTTCGTGATGCATTGCGTTAAAACGTCTGGTCTTTGAATGAGTTGCTACGTAATGAGACCCTATACTTTCATAGAGTATTCTGTACTTGTTTGGGCTGCCGTAAATTGAAATTGTTTGTTTTTCACTTTAGTTAATCGGGGCAATGCAGCATGTTTTATTTATTCGCTCGCCACTTCGATGAGCCACTCACACGACACACGTGTATTACTTTGAATATTTTGTTTATTATTTTTTGTATTTGCAATGACTAATTAAAACATCATTTAGGCTAAATTGAAATACATATCTCTATACAACTTTAATTATTTGAAAATGAAGGAAATAGAATGGGGATCAGTACAAACTGTTTGTCTTAACTCACTCGTCCCTTGCAAAAATAATCAGTTCGTGCAAGATCACTACTACCACAAGGATTATAATTTACTCTATATTAAATGTACGTTACAGATGTACTACACATTACTGGGAGCCTATATCATATTAATCAATATTTCTGAAAACGTTGACTTCACGCTTATCTAAAATAACAGGGATCAACTTCGTCCCTAGGACGCTTTTCCCTGGCTTTGACAATTGCAAGGGACGTACTCGAGGGATATACAAGGATATACTCGAAGGTGGTATCAAACCCACCTCATTAATATAAAAAATGCCTTTGTTTCTAGTTTGCCTACTGAATTACGTTATTACACTCAGCAATATTTAGCTTAATTTTTGATTAATTATAACATTTAGTTATATTATATGAAATTAGCGATAGCTGTTAAGGGACCAGTCATAAAGTACAGGGGGAAGAGGGGGGGGGGGGCTATGAATTTTTTTTTTTAAGTACTGGTTTTCAGTGGCCCACCCCTGAGTTATTTGACAAAATTGGGGCGGCCCACCCCTGGAGTGGCACAGAAAAAACTAGTGACCTACCCCCCAACCAAAACCAGTAACGTTGATGTGGATAGGTACATTAGGGAACATTGGCTTACCACTTTTGTCAGAATCTCCAAAAAATCTTCGAGATCGAAATGTGAGTGAATGAAAGAAAATAAAGCACAAGCTAGGAAGCGACGCCGTGAAAGAGCAGAGGAAAATTGTGAGAGAGTGTTCTCCGCAATCAGTCACTCATCATCTTATGGTGAAGTTATAACCTCCGATCATTGTAGTTGGATAGGCCTTAACATCTTAACAAAGAGAGATGGTAGGTGGTTCTAAAACTATTAATAAGTAAAGGTAAATTTACAGTGGATTGCTGTTTAAACAATCAGAGCAAACGTGACCAGTTGTATTGGGTGCTATAGATGATAGTGATGATGATGATGATGATGATGATGATGATAACGAGAAGGAGGACGAGGACGAGGAGGAGGAGGATGGTAATGCTTCTGAGGGTGATGGTAATGGTGAAGATGACTAAAGATGATTAGAAGAAGATATTAAAAAAGATGTTAACATAACTTAGGTTTATGAACACACAGTAAAGCTTTGTTCTAGATTTTATACTATAAAAAGTTTCCCGCGTGACTACTCTTCAGAGTTAAAGACTGTACATAAATAGAAACAAAATATTTAAAATCTGAATTCCTGTTGTCATATAAAGTTGGATTAATGTGGAAAATTAGATTTATTGCTAAAAAAAGATTTTACTAAAGTTTGTAATGATATGTGAATAATTTCACATGACCCACCCCTAATGCAGTGCATTATTTTTCCCTGACCGACCCTTTTTAACGTGTTAAAAAATAGTGACCCACCCCCAACTTTTCAAAGCCCCCCCCCTTTGTACTTTATGACCAGTCCCTAAAGTAATTCAGGCTTTACACAAATTAAATAAAAACAAAACATGAATTTAAATTTACCGAATGGTAGATGTTGTGTTTAGCAGTTCACATGTGGTATTTTGTGGTTTCTGATCATCCTTTTATCACATATTCCATTTTCCCATTTGTTCTTAATTATTTTATTCAAATTTTATTTTCGAAGGGGGCCTCAGAAATCCCCTCATTTGATAACGATAAAAGATGTTAAAAAGTCCGGTCTGAAGAATTTCTCGCTTAACCTTCGTCTTCATCGTCACCATCTCGTTCTCTTCGCGCCGTCCCAAGACCAGATTTTTTCGTTAAACGTTTCTGTTTCTCGATTCTGAATAGTTTGATGTTAATATCATAGAGATACATTTCATTTGGAGAGAACTGCAATAAAATTTCTTCCTCGAATTTGCCCGCCTTAAAAACGCCCTTGGATCTACATCCTATGGGATGTCACACACGCTGCACTCGCCATTGCAAAATTCTTTACTTTGCGCCCTTGGAAGACCAGATTTTTGCTTTAAACGTTCCTGTTACACGATTCTGAACAGTTTCATGTTAATATCATAGAGATACATTTCATTTGGGGAGAACTATAATGAAAAGTTCCTTCTCGAATTTGCCCGCCTTAAAAACGCCCGTGTATCGGCATCCTATAGGATATCACACACGCTGAACTCGCCATTCCAAAATTCTTTACTTTGCGCCCTTGGAAGACAAGATTTTTACTTAAAACGTTTCTCTTATACGATTCTGAACAGTTTGATGTTAATATCATAGAGATACACTTCATTTGAGGGGAACTGTAATAAAAAGTTCCTTCTCGAATTTGCCCGCCTTAACGCCCGTGGATCGGCATCCTATAGGATGTCACACACGCTGAACTCGCCATTCCAAAATTCTTTACTTTGCGCCCTTGGAAGACAAGATTTTTACGTATTTTTACTTAAAACGTTTCTCTTATACGATTCTGAACAGTTTGATGTTAATATCATAGAGATACACTTCATTTGAGGGGAACTGTAATAAAAAGTTCCTTCTCGAATTTGCCCGCCTTAAAAACGCCCGTGGATCGGCATCCTATAGGATGTCACACACGCTGAACTCGCCATTCCAAAATTCTTTACTTTGCGCCCTTGGAAGACAAGATTTTTACGTATTTTTACTTAAAACGTTTCTCTTATACGATTCTGAACAGTTTGATGTTAATATCATAGAGATACACTTCATTTGAGGGGAACTGTAATAAAAAGTTCCTTCTCGAATTTGCCCGCCTTAAAAACGCCCGTGGATCGGCATCCTATAGGATGTCACACACGCTGAACTCGCCATTCCAAAATTCTTTACTTTGCGCCCTTGGAAGACAAGATTTTTACGTATTTTTACTTAAAACGTTTCTCTTATACGATTCTGAACAGTTTGATGTTAATATCATAGAGATACACTTCATTTGAGGGGAACTGTAATAAAAAGTTCCTTCTCGAATTTGCCCGCCTTAAAAACGCCCGTGGATCGGCATCCTATAGGATGTCACACACGCTGCACTCGCCATTCCAAAATTCTTTACTTTGCGCCCTTGGAAGACAAGATTTTTACGTATTTTTACTTAAAACGTTTCTCTTATACGATTCTGAACAGTTTGATGTTAATATCATAGAGATACACCTCATTTGAGGGGAACTGTAATAAAAAGTTCCTTCTCGAATTTGCCCGCCTTAAAAACGCCCGTGGATCGGCATCCTATAGGATGTCACACACGCTGCACTGGCCATTCCAAAATTCTTTACTTTGCGCCCTTGGAAGACAAGATTTTTACGTATATTTACTTAAAACGTTTCTCTTATACGATTCTGAACAGTTTGATGTTAATATCATAGAAATACACCTCATTTGAGGGGAACTGTAATAAAAAGTTCCTTCTCGAATTTGCCCGCCTTAAAAACGCCCGTGGATCGGCATCCTATAGGATGTCACACACGCTGCACTCGCCATTCCAAAATTCTTTACTTTGCGCCCTTGGAAGACAAGATTTTTACGTATTTTTACTTAAAACGTTTCTCTTATACGATTCTGAACAGTTTGATGTTAATATCATAGAGATTCACCTCATTTGAGGGGAACTGTAATAAAAAGTTCCTTCTCGAATTTGCCCGCCTTAAAAACGCCCGTGGATCGGCATCCTATAGGATGTCACACACGCTGCACTCGCCATTCCAAAATTCTTTACTTTGCGCCCTTGGAAGACAAGATTTTTACGTATATTTACTTAAAACGTTTCTCTTATACGATTCTGAACAGTTTGATGTTAATATCATAGAAATACATTTCATTTGGGGAGACCCGTAATAAAATATCTTTCTCGAATTTGCCCGCCTTAAAAACGCCCGTGGATCGGCATCCTATAGGATGTCACACACGCTGCACTCGCCATTCCAAAATTCTTTACTTTGCGCCCTTGTAAAACGAGGTTTTTGGTTTAAACGTTTTTATTACACGGTTCTGAATAGTTAGATTTCTATATCATAGAAATACATTTCATTTTGGGGGAACTGTAGTAAAATTTCTTTCTCGAATTTGCCCGCCTTAAAAACGCCCGTGGATCGGCATCCTATAGGATGTCACACACGCTCCACTCGCCATTCCAAAATTCTTTACTTTGCGCCCTTGGAAGACCGGGTTTTTGGTTTAAACGTTTTTGTTACACGATTCTGGATAGTTTGATTTCTATATCATAGAAATACATTTCATTTTGGGAGAACTGTAGTAAAATTTCTTTCTCGAATTTGCCCGCCTTAAAAACGCCCGTGGAACGGCATCCTATAGGATGTCACACACGCTGCACTCGCTATTCCAAAATTCTTTACTTTGCGCCCTTGTAAAACGAGGTTTTTGCTTTAAACGTTTCTCTGACACGATTCTGAACAGTTTGATGTTAATATCATAGAAATACATTTCATTTGGGGAGACCCGTAATAAAATATCTTTCTCGAATTTGCCCGCCTTAAAAACGCCCGTGGAACGGCATCCTATAGGACGTGACCAATAGCGCTCCCCCGAAACCCAGAATATTTCATTTTCCGTCTTGAGAACTACAACTGTCTACCAAAAACGTTTTATCTCAAAACACTGATGGATTGTAACCCAACACAATGAAGTAAAAGTTCACTTTGATCAATTTAACTTCGCCTTATTTCTTATTCGTCTTCGATGTATGCGGAATTAGCTGGAATTGTTTGAAAATTTGCGTTTGTTATATCAAATAGTCGTTAATATATGTTCGAGTTTCGTCTATTCATCTTCCGCTGTATCAAAAAGGGGGATATTTTTAAATTTGATCGAAAATATAACGGTTACTTGCACAGATAGTTGTGTAGCCTATGGACCGCCATATTGCCCGTACTATAGTACGTAATTCAGCGGGTGATGCCCGCGTAATTTGGTCCATTTTCAGCGGGTATCACCCACAGGAGTTGCGTGAATCGGGTGCATCTCGGCATCTCGGCGCGGCCATACCCACATACTAATCAAATAGTCCATCAAATATGGCAGACTTTGGCTTTTCTTCCTCTCCTTCTTCCAGTTCAGGAGGTGGAATGGATAGCGCTAAAAGAAGTGAATTGATGGACCAAGTTAAAAGCCAGCTTTTAGTCGCACAGTTGCAGGAGTTACTGTCGGTAAGTTATCGAGGGAGGGCAGTTTACATGTTTACTACACGTGCACAAATAAGCTTTAAATGTGTGCCCAATCGTGACAATAATATTCATTCAACTTAATTAAGTTTATTTCTGGCTGCATTATGTACGGCTGGCACTACATACAATCCATCGGAAAATACAAGGCTTAATGCAACAACGATACGCGCCATCTTTACACGCGCAAGCAATGTCACATGGTACTTAACTGAGAAATAGAGTTTTTATAGTAGTTGCAGTTTTTCCAAGTGTTATGTAGTTATTGCTTCCTGTTCGTGTCATCCTGTGAGGGCATTTACAATTTTGCCTTCCTATGATCATTTTGCATGAGGGGACTGGGGCGAGTTTCAAGACCAAAACCTTTTAGCCAAGTAGAATTATCAAGGTCGCTATCAAAGGGACACAGGCAGCTATGGAACCGTGCTGACCTGGACACCACTTTTGCCAGTTTGGAAAGCGTTTACCTCAACCCAAAATCAAATGGGCAATTCCACATGAGACGATGAAATTTTGAATTTTTTGAAAATAAAATTTTGCACAATGAAACTTAACGAACAGAAAGCTGAAACAATGCGCTGTTTGAAATTACTGAGATCTTGTGCGTCTTGTCCATGTGCTTAATGTGAGAAGGCATGAAATCCAGAGAATATGAATCTCATTATATTTGGAATTTTTGGATGGAAATTTTAAACAAAGTTTTAACATCTAAGAAAACATACAGTTAACATAAAAGTATGTGTGTATTATAACCTTTGCCTTACACTATCATTAGGCTATAAATTATTATCCAGCTACTGGCACTTTCCTAAGAAAATTGACATTGAATTTTTGTTGCGGACATTACGTAATGTCCGCAATGTTAAGGTACCTTTTTTCAGTTCCTGTACACAGTGTGCTGTATTTTCATGTGCTATTGATGCTGCTCAGTTAGTCTGATGTATTGTATATTTTAATCTCAAAACATTTCCTGGGTGGGTTTTCTTTGCTCAGAAATTATAAGTTGAAAAGTGTTGCAGACATTACGTTGCGGACATTACACATATTAGATTTTTCATTAATTATTCAGGCTGTTGCGGATATTTAGTTCTTACTATCTCTGAATTAGATTCAGACAACAGCCCACCTAACACTAAATTGCTTTTTATTGATGTACAAATGTAAATGGCAAATTAAAAAGAGCTGGTAGCTTTTCCGTAATGTCCAATGAATTTAATTTACAAAGTATTAAAAACATTCTAAATAATTTACGATTTCTGTGATATTCTTGAAAATGGGCAAACATAGTGATTTTCGAATTAGTTCCTTCCATAAAGTAGTATAGATGCATGACGAATTTTGCAGGACTTTAACTGAAAAACGGAAAAATATTTTAAAGAGTTTATATGTTTTTGGGGGATGCTCTCACAAAATTACAGTGACATTTGTATGGATCTTTAACTGTGTTTCAAGAGTCATAACTTAATCCCTGTTCACCTTTAGAGCACCAAACCTGCTCAACCAACCAATCTCAACATGACCTTTCATGACGAGCTTTGAAGCGCGAAAAAATTTTATGCAAATTAGGTGGCTGCACAGTCAATGTGCAGCCAGCTAATTTGCATAAGTAATTCAAAACCAAGGTCTGACAGCTCTAGGCTCTTGAGGTGTTAGCTGAATACCCTAGGACTTCCGTAAATTGCCCACAAAAGAGTAACTCAAGCTACCATAAACTGAAATGAAAGTAACCGCAATATCCGATTAAAGCGAGGTTTAAATCTTTTTCTGCTCGGCTAACCCTCTTCCGAGACACTTACTATTTTGGTAATAATAAAACGCCATAAACATTTTACATTGCGCCTTTTTCAGTCTCGGCAGTAAGTTATTGTATGAAATGGAGGTAAACTCAAGAATTCAGTTTTGTGACTGCCCTGCAACTTTGAAACTATTTAAGCCGCTTCCTAAAAGGCTGGGAAAATGTTTTTCGTACACACTACCCAGGATACTACAGGAATGATTCGAGCATTTTTGCAAGTTAACTGTAGATTTCAGGTATACGCTACCCAGGATACTACAGGAATGATTCGAGCATTTTTGCAAGTTAACTGTAGATTTCAGGTATACGCTACCCAGGATACTACATCATCGATTAGAGCATTTTTACGAGTTAACTGTAGATTTCAGGTATACACTACCCAGGATACTACAGGAATGATTAGAGCATTTTTGCAAGTTAACTGTAGATTTCAGGTATACGCTACCCAGGATACTACATCATCGATTAGAGCATTTTTACGAGTTAACTGTAGATTTCAGGTATACACTACCCAGGATACTACAGGAATGATTAGAGCATTTTTGCAAGTTAACTGTAGATTTCAGGTATCGCTACCCAGGATACTACATCATCGATTAGAGCATTTTTTACGAGTTAACTGTAGATTTCAGGTATACACTACCCAGGATACTACAGGAATGATTAGAGCATTTTTGCAAGTTAACTGTAGATTTCAGGTATCGCTACCCAGGATACTACATCATCGATTAGAGCATTTTTACGAGTTAACTGTAGATTTCAGGTATACACTACCCAGAATACTACAGGAATGATTAGAGCATTTTTGCAAGTTAACTGTAGATTTCAGGTATACGCTACCCAGGATACTACATCATCGATTAGAGCATTTTTACGAGTTAACTGTAGATTTCAGGTATACACTACCCAGGATACTACAGGAATGATTAGAGCATTTTTGCAAGTTAACTGTAGATTTCAGGTATCGCTACCCAGGATACTACATCATCGATTAGAGCATTTTTACGAGTTAACTGTAGATTTCAGGTATACACTACCCAGGATACTACAGGAATGATTAGAGCATTTTTTGCAAGTTAACTGTAGATTTCAGGTATACGCTACCCAGGATACTACATCATCGATTAGAGCATTTTACGAGTTAACTGTAGATTTCAGGTATACACTACCCAGGATACTACAGGAATGATTAGAGCATTTTTGCAAGTTAACTGTAGATTTCAGGTATACGCTACCCAGGGATACTACATCATCGATTAGAGCATTTTTACGAGTTAACTGTAGATTTCAGGTATACACTACCCAGGATACTACAGGAATGATTAGAGCATTTTTGCAAGTTAACTGTAGATTTCGGTATCGCTACCCAGGATACTACATCATCGATTAAAGCATTTTTACGAGTTAACTGTAGATTTCAGGTATACACTACCCAGGATACTACAGGAATGATTAGAGCATTTTTGCAAGTTAACTGTAGATTTCAGGTATACGCTACCCAGGATACTACATCATCGATTAGAGCATTTTTACGAGTTAACTGTAGATTTCAGGTATACACTACCCAGGATACTACAGGAATGATTAGAGCATTTTTGCAAGTTAACTGTAGATTTCAGGTATACGCTACCCAGGATACTACATCATCGATTAAAGCATTTTTTACGAGTTAACTGTAGATTTCAGGTATACACTACCCAGGATACTACAGGAATGATTAGAGCATTTTTGCAAGTTAACTGTAGATTTCAGGTATACGCTACCCAGGATACTACATCATCGATTAGAGCATTTTTACGAGTTAACTGTAGATTTCAGGTATACACTACCCAGGATACTACAGGAATGATTAGAGCATTTTTGCAAGTTAACTGTAGATTTCAGGTATACGCTACCCAGGATACTACATCATCGATTAGAGCATTTTTACGAGTTAACTGTAGATTTCAGGTATACACTACCCAGGATACTACAGGAATGATTAGAGCATTTTTGCAAGTTAACTGTAGATTTCAGGTATACGCTACCCAGGATACTACATCATCGATTAAAGCATTTTTACGAGTTAACTGTAGATTTCAGGTATACACTACCCAGGATACTACAGGAATGATTAGAGCATTTTTGCAAGTTAACTGTAGATTTCAGGTATACGCTACCCAGGATACTACAGCATTGATTAGAGCATTTTTTGAGTTAACTGTAGATTTCAGGTATACACTACCCAGGATATCTGCAACGCAGATAACAAAAGCTCAGGAAACAAGGGGACCCTGCATGACCCAGCGAGGCTGCTTGTCTGCGAAATTTTTTTTAGAGCTGACTCTTTCGAGTGTTGAACTAGAACAGAATAATCCAGAATTATAATTTTAAACATCAATTGCTACTGATATAATTATTAAGTTTTCTTACCTGTCTGGAGTCTCTTCCACTGATGTCAATGATCTGGGCGCCAAACAAACGCGCGCGGTACATATTTCCCGCCACAAATAATTAAAAGCACTTTCATGAGACGGTGATCAAAATGCAAAAGCAAAATAGGAAAGCCGGCGCCAAATTGCTAGAGGCTATCGATCGTTTGTTGGGCGGCGTGTGATAGAGTGAAACTGACAAAATATCGAGAATTCTGGACAGAATCTTTTTGTAATACATTATCAAAAATTATGTGAAATACATCATCAGAGAACACGTGCGAAAAAAATAATTTCGGCTCGATATTTTTTCTCGGTATTTTTCATCGCCAAAAAACCGAAACATTAAAAATCACGACTTACCATCAATTACTCGGCTAAACAAAGCTAAACTTACCAAAGTCGATAACCAAGTAAGGATTTCCTACAGAAATAATTTGCCACTCTCGTTTAGCAGTGTAGTGGTCGAACTTGACGTAGGTTAAAACGGATTCGTTTTGCCGGCGTCTTCCCGTTAAATTAAAGTAGATTTAACACTTGCCAGGAGTAATTAGAAATCTAGCCATTTTGCTCATAGCTTCGCAAATGCAACCAGCGTTATGCAGTAAAGCGACAGAAACTTTAGCGAAATATTCACACGCGACAGTCGCGACAACCTCAGTAAATCTAACAAATGAAACAAGATGCTGAGAGAAAAAAAGGGCTTCATTGATTGTTTCCGGCAGGCGGTGACAAGTAATGTACGAGATTAGAAGACCTCCTGGTCAGAATTTTTTTTGTAGCCTAAGCCCGTCATGTATGGTGGTGTCAGTTTATCAATTAGTTTAAATTTGAAACTTGCCCCAGTTCCCTATGCAACTCCAAAATGGCCAATAAGTTGCTGGTCAGGGGTTTTGTACTGCTGAGCATGCTCAGAACAGTTTGTAAGCATGCTCTTTGAGGAAAAGCACTGACCATCATTGTTTCTTCTGCAAACTTGAATGGGTACTATTTTTTTAACTAGAATTTGTAATATAATGTGTAGTGAACAATGTGCAATTTTAGTGCAAATTTACATTTTATCTGTCTTTAAGTCAGACTGAATGACAAAATATGATAATTTCAGTAGCTAAATCAGTTTTGTAAAAAACAAAATAATATCCTCACTACTGAGAACATTTTGTTTTTCTCATAACTTTTACTTGACATGTAATAAAATTAATTTGGAAATTATTTTAAGGAGTCAGTATAGCAGAAAAAAATGTGACTGGTATTGCATGATACTAGGTCTCAGCAGGAGATTATATAATATTATAATAGAACATAAATAAAGTAAATTATAATTTTACAGCTTCATTTTTCGACAAGTAACTACGTACAGGACAAATGGACATAGCCACAGTCAGCAACACTGAGTAGGAAGTGAATGATAAAAAATGTGTTGCCAAAAATGTAATGTCCACAACAATTTTGTGTAATGTCCGCAACACAAACTTTTGTTTGTAGAATCACTGGAACAAGGTTGCATGGAATTTGTCCTTGACAGTTGAAAAATCTAATTATTGTTATGTTTTGAAGGCACAATTATTTTCTGCTCAAGGTTAAAAATTCACAGGAAAATCTCTTTAAAGAAAGTTACTTTAAAAAGTGGTTGTTTAAACTGTAATGTCCGCAACACACTTTATTCAGCTCATACCGTCAAGGTCTTAAGAGCTAACCAAAGCATCTTTTTATTAGGTACAAAGGGAACACTAAAAATACTTTCTAGTTATGTTTGAACACCCTTAATGAACTCTTTGACATCTAAATTGGGGTTTAAATATTAATCTGAATGTAATGTCCGCAACATGGAATCACCCAAATGTACGTGTCGGATACATCTAGAAAACTGCTTCAATCTTGCCTAGTGTTTCATTCGATCCTCAATCTGTTATAGAAAACCTCTTTTTGAGCAAACTTTAACTCATCCTATGACATTATTTTATCATACTTGGTCAAAAACAGTATCCAAAGGAACATTAACAAAAGAGGTGAGAAACCCGTAGGCACTGGGTGAGAGAAATCGCCATTGTTTACCAAAATAACAGAAGAAATGAATCAATAACATTGGCAAGCAGATAATCGTTATATATATTTGGAAAATAGATGGAAAAGGTTGCATATGCTTGGAAAATCAAACATTCTCAACCTTGAACCTTCGACAATGATTCATGCAGACTCCGTATCATTTCTCACCTCTACTGATGATGGAATTCAGAAGCATTCGTTGATGTTTTGCTTTCCCTGGACAAATCCATCAGTGAATTCTCAATGGTATATTAAAAAATAAGTGCTCTGACATGGCTTAGGGTCTATAATCACGATTTCTGCTTGTAACTAGTTCAACTCTACAAGGTTTGTTTTGAGTATTATCTGAACAATTTTGGCGTAAAATACACCAAATTCGGCATATTTGCAAACCCTGATGCATGCACTGCTCTAAGTTAATTTGCTGGCTAAGAGTGAGATTTTTTGAAAGCATAGCCGTCAATAATATTGTAACGCTATACAGTTGGCATCATTCTTCCTAAGGAGGGGGAGCGGAGAGGGGGAGACCAGGCTCCCATATGAAATACAACTGGTTCAAAAGGTGACTTTTTGTTGGCCCGTTTGATAGTGAAAATGACCAAAGCATGGTCCATGATGTTGTGGAAAATTTTTACTGTTTATTTTTACTGTAAAGAGTTAGACTAGTGTATACTTGGAGTTGGTACTTCTTGTGTTTTGAAGCAAGTACATTCATGTACATATCTGGTATCAACAGCCATTTTTAACTTTCTTTTTATATCCTTTTATCTCTTAACCAGAAAATGTCAGATAAATGCTTTAAAAAGTGCATTTACAAGCCAGGGACACAGTTGGACAATTCAGAGCAGGTGAGAATGAAATCCTTTCTGAAATAACTAGAAGCAGGTTTGTTACCAGGTAAATCCGCTGTCAAAAAGTTTTACTTTTGAGTGAAGTTAATATCTTTGTTGAACAAAAAATATCATGCACTTTATTACAGTCAGCTCTCTATTAATGGACACCTCTCTATGATGTTATGTGGTTTTTGAAAACTTTTTAGGCTGATAGTTGTTCAAAGTTCATTTTCGTTGATTGAAACATTATTTAATTATTCAATGCCTGGGAGACATATTTTTTTTACACGTAGCTCTGATATTGTCGTTTACAAGTGATTTCTCAAGTTCCGTGCAAATAAGAACATGCAACTGGTATTATCAACAAAATGAACTAGACAACCATAACACAGTCCCTTAGGCATATGACCAGAATATTAAAATTATTTCAAAACAAGCAATAGTGGTGCTGATCATAATAATGTTTGCATTTACTGGTGTTTAATTAGGCTTGAGAACATCGTATTAAATTGAATTCATTTCAATATATTTTGATGTGGCTTAATTCTGGGGGAGGGGGCTTATAATCAGATGTATTTTGGGTTTACAGGGAGATGAGCTGGCCCATAACTGGGGGGACAGGGCTTATAAGGAGCAGTTTATGGTGTACATATACATGTATCATGTTTGCTCCTTTTGTCATCTCTTTCCTTTTTTTTTCTTTCAAATATATAAAATCAGAAAGCAGAGTGAAATATTAAGACTGAATCCATCAGGAAATTGAGTAATTTTAGTTTTTCATTGGACAAAATCTTGTACCAGAATGAATTACCGAGTAAGCCATTCACATTCGTTTTTACTTTTTTTCACAGGCTATAGATATAATTAGTTATCTGTAAGAACACCAAAGACAATTTCTTATTGGAGCCGGAGCAAATTGATTTCAAACTTCACAGAAATTGTGCAAACACAAGTGCAATTTCATGCATAAGGATTCATTTTGTGAAATTTGAACCTTTTGAAATTTATAATTTTTCTCGGGCTCAAATAACAAATTTTCTATAGTGTTATTAAAAATAACTAATTACATCTATAGTCTGGTACAAGATTTTTGTCTACTGAAAATAAAAATTACTCAATCACCTAATGGATTCCGCTATAAGCTCTATGGTCATGCGCCTGGCTACTTGATCGATTTGATTGCTATTAAAGAACAGCTGCGCTATAATCTCCGTTCAGTTAGCGGTCACATCTTAAAGTATCCTTACCAGTTTAAAAGTGAAAAAGACTTCAGGGGATCGTGCTTTTTCATCTGCTGCACCTAATTTATGGAAAAATCAGCCCCTTCACATCCGTCTTGAGGACAATTTTGAACGTTTTAAATTTTGATATGTAATCGCATCTTTTGATATAGTTTTTGATATGTAATGTTTTTAACCTACTATGTGATATATTTAGGGTTTTTATCTTTATTTAATTTTAAGCGTTGTTTTCTCTTAGCCTTAATTATTATTCTTATTTTAGCTTTTATTTTCTTTTAACATTTATGTCTTGTCACGCCCTTTTGATCATATTTGCATGGAAAAGGCGCGTTGTAAATTTTTAATTATTATTATTATTGTTGTCTGTGTCTTTCAGAAATGCTTATCAATGTGCATGGATAGGTATATGGATGCTTGGAATACAGTTTCAAAGACATACACAACCAGACTACAGAAAGAGCATAGTCAAGGCGGAAGTTTTTAAACAAATATAACACACCCAATATAGCTGGTTTTTTTATTATTTCGAGTCAGCCTGTTTGCTACAAAGTGTCACGAAATTCAAGACATTACCATCCTCGTCACTCTTTCCACATTATACCTTTCATTTCCTTTGAACGGCCTTTATCACACAACTTCAAGTCAATGCATAGTTGCCACACCAGTAGATTGTGGTGTCAAGTGGTTTGATTTATTAACAAGAATGTGACTGGAACTCCTGTGGTGCAAACCACAGAAAAATCTGACCCCAGACCATAAAATAATGGGTTAATGTAGCTTGCGAATACAGCCGTTTCTCTTAGCTCTTCGCCGCCAGGGACTAATAGGGCTAATGGCAAATTGTATTTATTTGCATCTGTTTTTTTTAATAATGTGAAAAGAATGTAATAAACATGACATTTTAATATTTATAAACTTTTCAGTGACAATGTCTGCAATATAAAATTCTCCACACTTGTCTTCATACATTTCTTTGAAGATTTAGATGAGAGAATTTTCCCTTTGGAGATGATTTAAATAATTCTCGTAGCCTTTTCTCTTGATTGTGTATGGATAATTCCCGGGTCAGGGGATAATTATCAGTGGCGGATCTACGGGAGGGGCCCGGGGGGCCCTGCCCCCCTTACTTTTAGGCTAAACTGATGCCCGAGGGGCTGAAAAAAAATTTTTGGAGACCGCCCCCCCTTATCTCAAGGCTAGGCATAAATAGATTGTGCTCGGCAACTTTTGAGCAACTTTTGGCGTTTTCAGCAACTTTGTGTACCGCAAGCAACCTAGAGCAACTTTTGCCTTCCTTGGCAACTTTTGAGCCAACAAATAGTTAAAAACTGACCAAACCATCAAAAAGGTCTTCATTAAAAGGTTTTTATTAAAACTGGTCAAAACTAAGGATGTTGTACGTTCTTACAAATAAGTTATAAAATAACAGGTGTGCCCACGAACTTGAGGGCAGCTATCTATCTAACGGGCGCTTACATCCAGCGGTTATTTTCTCCAATAATAGAGCTTCCCGCCCGCCATCTTGGTATTTGCTGCAGTGGTATGGGGTGCCAAATGTATTTTTATTATTTAGAGTGGTTATTTGTATATAACCAAAACAAGGCTGGTTATTTACAAATAACCACATTACAGTTTTATTATTTCTAAATGACCAAAATATAAAATTGGTTATTTACAAATAACCTAAACTGAAATTTGGTTATTTAGCAAATAACCAAAAATTAAAAAGTGGTTATTTTTAAATAACCAAAATGAAAAATTGGTTATTTGTTAAATAACCAAAATGTGAGATTGATTATTTAATAAATAACCAAAATGGAAATTGGTTATTTAATAAATAACCAAAATGCGAAACTGGTTATTTATTAAATAACCAAAATGCGAAATTGGTTATTTATTAAATAACCAAAATGCAGGCAGAATGGAAAATTGGTTATTTATAAACAAACTGGACAATTGGTTATTTAGTAAATAAACAATCATGGATGATTAAAAATCCAAAAATGTGCGAAAATGGTTATTTAATACAGAAATGGTTAAACTGAAAAGACGTTTCAGTCACGAATGTTGACATCTTTGAGAAAAAGCAGTTCAGTCTCCAGTTTTTGTATAGCCTGCTTCAGGTTTACATAGTGCCCAGAGTTTCTTTTATTTTTCACCTAAATGTCTTTTTAGTGTCCGTTTGTACTAGAGGATTCGGTTATTTGCTTTGCTGACCGCGGGGAGGGGAATAGGACTGGTATGTACCCGGAGATTTTCGTTTCATGAATTTTACAACTTTTTGCTATTTCATTTTTTAATTTTTATTTCTTTTTGGAAGACTTTTTTTTAGCCAGGACATTTACCCATACCCACACCCACGACCCACGACATTTAACTACACTATGTATCACGCTGGGCCCAGTTAAATACTAGTCTTGTTTGCAGGTTGTTTTAAAAAATTCTCACGGATAACGATTTAAAGGTCCAAATTTAGATGAATGAATTGCAGCTTAAAATGAAGCTACATCAACTATGGACTACATCAACTATTCCTACGTTTCGCTTGCCAACATTCTTTGCTATCGTTACATCTCATTAAAGTTGGAAAGTTGAAACAATTCAAGAAAGTTTCAAGTGACTTGAAAACCATCCTTATGACCGACTTTTATTAGCTGACTTCCGGTTTCCATCCTGGGAGACCCAGCGGCAGATAGTGGGGGCGAGAGAAAGTCTTAACGGGCGGGAAAATATGGCACGGAGAAAAGAAAAGAATGGCGAGAAGAGCCCCTGGGGACAATGTGTTACCAGACCAGTTCCAAACTGTCGCGGTCGTTCTGGCTTCTGATTGGTGCCAGAAAACTTTTGTGTTTTTCTGCCCAATCAGAAGGCAGAACGGCGGCCACCGTTTGGAACTGGTCTGGTAAGACATTGTTTCCAGGGGCTCTTCTCGCCGTTCTTTTCTTTTCTTCGTGCCACATTTTCCCGCCCGTTTAGACTTTCCCTCGCCTCCACTATCTGCCCCTGGGTCTCCGAGAATGTGCGGTTTCTTGAGCTTTGAGAAAGGGGAGACATGTCAATCAAACTTATGTTGCGTGGGAAAATAGCTTAAGTTAACCTGAAGTAAAAAAGAATCGGTTGTGTGTGAAACTTTATTTAACTTGAAGTAATTAAAATTTACTTGTCTTGAAATATTTCTTAGCTTAGTTAGGCTCTGGCGTAATTGACTACTATTGCGTTTACTCCAAGCGAAGATAGACAACTCAGACTATCCATAATCAGTCGGCAAATTCACATACACATCACTTTTCATTTCGACTACTTGTCAAATTGCTTCTTCTCAGTCCTTGTAAGCTTCTCAAACGCGAAAATATCGCATACTTTGGCAAACGCATCGTCTAGTGAACTCTCCCCATCTTCCGCAATTTTTGTTTTCTCGCGAAATCCCCACGTAAACCCCACGCTTGTAGTCCCACAAAAGTAAGAGCCGAATTACGATTTTTACTAGTAATAACCAAAGGTTAGGCAGTACGAGTGACAACGATCGAAGGTTGAAACTACGCATCTCCTTCTTAATAGTTCATTATTATGTAGTCTTTGTGCCAGAAAGGGGGTTTCTTGACTCTCGATGAACGTCGTGGTTCTGTGAGCTGTCTGTCTTGGCTGTGTGTGTCTTGGCCGTTGCCCGTCGCTGGGCCGTTGCAGACTTGCACTGCGACTTCCACTACCGTATTCTTTTCCATATTTTGGTGATCCATGATCCACTTTCCACCTTTTTTGTGTCCGCCGCCAAAAGCGATGTTGTGTTTACTCCAAACCAAGATAGACGGCTCACTTGATCTTTCATGTGATTGAATCGAGTGGAGAAATAACGGTACCAATATTCTTCTCTCAACATACATAATATACTGAGGTAGGTGTCTCCGGTTAAGGACCTCTACAATTTTACATTCTGACCCTGTATCCACTTGAAATCGAACTTGATTTCCGAGCTTTTTAGTAGCTTTAGCTTTTTTAGTGCCGACAAATATTTCAACGAATGCTTTGTTGACACTGGGAAGTGACTCTTCGTCAACAGTGCAGATTTCGTATGACTCATCTTCGTCTGAATCTTCTTCACCTACGGTAGCAAAGAGCTTCGTGCGCTAAGGGATTGATAGTGGTTAAGATTTCCACATCTTTGGCATTTCTGTTCAAGTGCCGGACATTTTTTCTTCGGTTGTTTTGTTCCACATCTGGCAGAGATCACGCGATACTTCCCGTTTTTGATTCTTATTACATCTGTTGTTTTTACCACTTTCCTGTTTTAACGCATTTACGCAGGGTACGTTCGTGCGTACCTGCAAAAAAAAGAGGGTAAAAAAAAGAAATAAGAAAATAAGAAGATACAAGGGTGAATAATGAAAAACAAAGAAACAAAGGATAAGATAGATGAAAGTTAATTACAGTCAAACCCCGTTAATATACGGACACTCAAGGGACCACAGAAAGTGTCTGTATTAACCAGAACGGGCTTTCGAAATAAAAGAGGACATAAGCATCGGAAACACTTAAAATCGCTGATTTGTGATATTACTAATCAAAATCCTTCTCTCTATAACTCGTTTGAAGCCAAAAATGGACGTCTACAAATTATCCTATCCGGTATATTGTTGCGCTGAAGGATTTTTTACCTTCAAAAAAGAAAGGTCTATCACAGCACACAGTTGATAATGAAGTTTCCTCATTAACGAGGTTGGCTTCCTCTGAGACATTGTGGATTGTGTAAGAAATAAATGTCCGTTGTCCTCATTAACGTTTTTAAGCGGGTTGAATTTTAGAGATAATTTAGGGGCTTTCCCCAGGGACAAAGCAAACTGTCCGTAATAACGAGGTGTCCGTATTAAGCGGGCCTCCGTAAAGCAGGAATCGACTGTATTTTAAAAGCACAGTCCGGCTCAATTCATTTAACAACGGACTGTTTGATTTTTCTTTTTGCACCGAATGTCGGCTTTCAGAAAAGAGACATGATTCATTGATGGACTGAATCTTCAATGATATATATTTAGAGAAACAGCGAGAAAAGCGTAAACGCTTTGTTTTCATTTCGGCCTGTCTTCGCATTAGACGAAGTAGGGCGTTATTACATCAACGTAAGGTGTTTCGTTGGTTAAAAGTAATGTGGCAGATAACGGTAAACGAGTAACACATTTGTAATTAAAAGTCTGAGATACCACCAGATTGTTCGCGTAGGCGCTACGATTACACCTGATAAAAATTCCGGATTCATTTCTTTGCCGTGCACGACCACAACGTGACATTTCTTATGCGACGTTGTTTGGAGGACGTGTAAATAAACACACGATGATGAATTTTTCTTTCTCAGTTCAAACTTAGGTGTGGTCCCCAAGGATTCAACTCCAGTGAAATTCACGTACATTTGCCGTTTTGAGCAAGTGGAATAAACGTGGAAAAAATTGAAAATAATAGTGACGAATGGGCTACCCTCGCCATCAATCCTTTTAAAGCACCCTAAATTCATGAACGTGACACTCATTTGGTTTTACCACAAACTCTTATGATCGAAGGAGGAAAGTATCATGATTCGTTGGAAGAAATGTTTATTCTACAAAACAATGCGGAATTACAGGTAATTAGTTATGAATTCAAAAAAGGCGAAAAAGATTTCTTAAATTACTTAGAGCCGTCATTTCATATACGGTAAAAATGCGTAGGCTTACGATAACCTTATCTTTGGGGGGGGGGGCACTTGGTGAGTGGTACGTACCTCTGAAAAAATCCCTGCTACGCCGCTGTTTACGTTCGAGTTTCCAGTTTCAATAACGAATCTACGAACATTTTAAGAGAATCAATGAATTATTGTTATAAGTCCATATGTTGATTTTCTGTCAGGTCCGATCTTAAAATGTCACAAATCGAATATCATAATAACCGACGAACGGATTGAGGACGAGGAGGAAATGATGGACGCATGCATTGAGGGCGAGGAGCACATGACGGACGAATGCATTAAGGCAAGGAGCAAATGACCGACAAATGGATTGACGAGGGGATGTAAATGACCCAGGAAGAGATGGAAATGAACGACGAATGAAGGCGAGGAGCAAATCACTGAAGAATGCATTGAGGACGAGGAGCAAATGACGGACGAATACATTGAGGACGAGGAGAAAATCACCGAAGAATGCATTGAGGACGAGGAGCAAATGACGGACGAATGCATTGAGGACGAGGAGAAAATCACCGAAGAATGCATTGAGGACGAGGAGCAAATCACCGAAGATGGATTGAGGACGAGGAAAAAATGACTGAGGAATGCGTTTAGAACGAGGAGCAGATGATCGACGAATGCATCGAGGACGAGAAGCAAATGACCGAAGAATGGATTGAGCAGGAGATAGAAATGACCGAAGAATGGATTGAGCAGGAGATAGAAATGACCGACGAATGCATTGAGGACGAGGAGAAAATGACCGACGAATGCATCGAGGACGAGGAGCAAATGACCGAAGAATGGATTGAGCAGGAGATAGAAATGACCGAAGAATGGATTGAGCAGGAGATAGAAATGACCGACGAATGCATTGAGGACGAGGAGAAAATGACCGACGAATGCATTGAGGACGAGAAGCAAATGACCGAAGAATGGATTGAGCAGGAGATAGAAATGACCGAAGAATGGATTGAGCAGGAGATAGAAATGACCGACGAATGCATTGAGGACGAGGAGAAAATGACCGACGAATGCATTGAGGCAAGGAGTAAAGCCGACGAATGGATTGAAAAGTAGATGGAAATGATGGACTAATGGATTGCAGAAGAGTTGCAATTAACCCACCAATGGATTGAGGAGAAGAAGGAAATGGCCCACCAATGGATTGAGGACGAGGAGCAAATGACCGACGAATGAATCGAACAGTAGATGGGAATGATCGACTAATGGATTACGGAGGAGAAGGAAATGACCCACCAATGGATTGAGGAGGAGATTGAAATGACCCACCAATGGATTGAGGAGATGGAAATGATCTACAAATAGATTGAGGACGAGGAGCAAATGACCGACGAATGGATTGAAGAGTAAGTGGAAAAGACCGACGAATGTATTGAATTGGAGCAAGAAATTACCACCGAATTTTTGAGAAGAAGCAGAAAATGACCATAAGATCGACGTTTCAAACGGTTATTCAAAACATTTTGGACGAGTCGATCGCGAATTTTGTATTAACAGCTGCAGCGACGTGACCGGCGTTGTCTTTCGAGGCGGGAAAAAATCGACGGCATTGATCAGCACACTTGGAACGTGGCTGCGGCAAAAACGTCAGCCGGGACGAAGGGCATCAGAATGGAGCCTACGAGCAGGCGGCCACAGCGAACAGAATTTTCGCATTGTCTGCGTCCCAAATGTCTCCTTTTATCGGGGCGCAAAAAACGGTTAGGGCTACCAACAATTCCAGCTACTTTTTCCTGCATCTTTGGATCAAAAATGTAGATATCTCAAGTAAATTTTTGAAAATATATATAGGATGGAGCGAGAGTGAATTAGAACTACACTGTCGAGGATAGGGGCCTCGAACAGAAGCGTTTTTGGCAAAACACTAGAGACCCATAACATCAGGTTTTTCATGGCAAACCGAAAACCGCAAAATGTCACGTGACCACGGTCTTGCGGTCGCGTTTGCAGTTTGCAGTTCACGTTTGAACGGCAGGAAGGGCTTCCAGCATTAAGTGACTTTTGGCAAGGTTTTTTGCCACTACAAATTGTACAGCCTCGCGTTTAAAGGCACAAAATAGCTTTTTTGCATCCGTCTGCGATGTGTTTGTTGGATTTTTGAACTCGAATCAATTCATTATTCCTGTTTTTTGGGCGATAAAAGTGATGCACTTCGACTTGATGAAAAACAACATGGCGGCACTAAACAATGATCGCGTAGTTAAAAATCGATTTTATATTCCTTTCTGCCATACTAACATAGGAAAGTTTTATGTTCCAATCAAGAGTTAAAACTTTTTTCTACCTTGTTACTGAATTCATAACTTAGCTCAGTCTCTGTTTAGTTCCTATTTTGAACGTATCACTCTGCGAATTTCATTTTACTTATTTCTTTGTGACTGGGGAGCCCAGGCTTCATAAGCTTTCTGGTTTCTTCTGGGCTCCCTTACGTATTCCTATATGTATTCTTGTATTGTATTGCTTTATTTTGGCTAAATAAAAATGGACTGAACTGAACGGAACTGAACGCCTTGCTAAAATTTGAAAACCCGGCAACGTGAAACGTCAAACGCGTAACGGCAAACTGCAGTTTGCGGTTTGCGCTTTCCCATGAAAATCTTGATACTAAAGGTCTCTACATTGTACAAGAAAACTTCTGCGAAAGTAACTTTGTAGCCGACATTTTGAATGTGGACTACTTGAAAGGTCATCAAGGGAGAACAAACCTCACTGTTCGTGGACGACTTTTACTTATAATCAGTCGGCAAATTCACATACACATCACTTTTCATTTCGACTACTTGTCAAATTGCTTCTTCTCAGTGCCTGTAAGCTTCTCAAACCCGAAAATATCACGCGTCGTCTAGTGAATTCTCCCCATCTTCCGCTATTTTTGTTTTCTCGCGAAATCCCCACGTTGTAAACAGGGCGATGATTCATTTACTATTATTACATTACACAGCGCACGTCCCTATGTTGATTTACTGCATCTGCATTTTCTTAATACATGATATAGTCTTTGTGCCACAAAGGCGGCTTTTTTAGTCTTTTTGAACGTCGTGGTTGAATGCCTTGTTCGGGAGTCACACCTGTGTTTTTACCACTTTCCAGTTGGGTTAACGCATTTACGCACGGTACGTTCGTGCGTACCTGTAAAAAAAAGAGGGTAAAAAAATAATAATAAAATAAGAAGATACAAGGGTGAATGATATCTTGGCTGGGCCGCTGCAGACTTCTGCGAATTCCACTCTCACCTCCACTACCTTTTCCTTCTTTTTGTAATCCATAAACGACAGAATTGGAACTATTCCACTTTCTTCCTTTTTATGTAGCCAAGATAGACGGCTCACCTGATCTTTCCCGCACTGATTACAGCGGAGAAATAACGATTACAATGTTCTTCCCACATACATACAGAACATACTGAGGTGCGTGTCTCCGGCTAAGGACTTCTGTTTAAATGCCGGACATTTTTCCTTTGCGTATTTTGTTCCACATCTGTCAGAGATCACGCGATTCTTCCCGTTTTTGATTCTTATTACATCTGTTGTTTTCACCACTTTCCTGTTTTAACGCATTTAGTAATTACGTTCGAGTTTCCAGTTTTAATAACGAATCTCCGAACATTATAAGAGAATCAATGAATTATTGTTGTAAGTCCGTATGTTGATTTTCTGTCAGGTCCGATATTAAAATGTCACAGATCGAATATCGTAATAACAGATGAATGGATTGAGTACGAGGAGGAAATGAAGCACGAATGCATTGAGGAAGAGGAGCAAAGACCGGCATTAAGGACAAGGAGCAAATGACCGAAGAATGGATTGAGGAGGAGATGGAAACGACCTACAAATGGATTGAGGAGGGGATGGAAATGACCCAGGAACAAATGGAAGTGAAAGACGAATGCATTGAGGACGTGGAGCAAATGAATGACGAATGCATTGAGGACAAGGAGCAAACGACGGACGAATGCATTGAGGACGTGGAACATATGACCGAAGAAGGCGTTGAGAACGAGGGGCAAATGATCGACGAATACATTGAGGACGAGGAGCAAATGGCCGAAGAATAGATTGAGGAGATAGAAATGACCGACGAATGCATTGAGGACGAGGAGCAAATGACCGACGAATGCATTGAGGCAAGGAGCAAAGCCGACGAATGGATTGAAGAGTAGATGGAAATGATGGACTAATGGATTGCAGAAGAGTTGCAATTAACCCACCAATGGATTGAGGAGAAGAAGGAAATGGCCCACCAATGGATTGAGGACGAGGAGCAAATGACCGACGAATGAATCGAACAGTAGATGGGAATGATCGACTAATGGATTACGGAGGAGAAGGAAATGACCCACCAATGGATTGAGGAGGAGATTGAAATGACCCACCAATGGATTGAGGAGATGGAATTTAAGGAAATGTCATGATCTACGAATAGATTGAGGACGAGGAGCAAATGACCGACCAATGGATTAAAGAGTAGATGGAAAAGACCGACGAATGTATTGAACTGGAGCAAGAAATTACCAGAATGTTTGAGAAGAAGCAGAAAATGACCATAAGATCGACATTTCAAACGGTTATTCAAAACATTTTGGAAGAGTCGATCGCGAATTTTGTATTAACAGCTGCAGCGACATGACCGGCGTTGTCTTTTGAGGCGGGAAAAAAATCGACGGCACTGACCAGCACACTTGGAACGTGGCTGCGGCAAAAACGTCAGCCGGGACGAAGGGCATCAGAATGGAGCCTGCGAGCAGGCGGCCACAGCGTAAAGCATTTTCGCATTGGCTGCGTTCGAAATGTCTTCTTTCATCGGGGCGCAAAAAACAGTTAGGGCTACCAACAATTTCACCTACTTTTTGCTGCATATTGTGCATAAAAAATGTAGATATCTCAAGTACATTTTTGAAAATATATATAGGATGGAGCGAGAGTGAATTAGAACTACACCGTCGAGCATGGGGACATCGAACAGTAGCGTCTTTGGCAAAACACTAGAGACCCTTAGCATCAGGTTTTTCATGGCAATTCGCAAACCGCAAAATATCACGTGGCCACAGTCTTGCTGTCGCGTTTGCAGTTTGTAGTTCACGTTTGAACGGCAGGAAGGGCTTCCAGCAATAAGTGACTTTTGGCAAGGTTTTTTGCCACTAAAAATTGTACAGCCTCGCGTGGACTTGATGAAAAACAACATGGCGGTACTAGACGATGATGGCGTAGTTAAAATTCGATTTTGTGTTCCTTTCAGCTGTACTAACATAAGAAAGTTTTCTGTTCCAATCAAGAGTTAAAACTTTTTTTCTATCTTGTTACTGAATTCATAACTTAACTCAGTCTCTGTTTAGTTCCTATTTTGAACATATTACTCCGCGAATTTCATTTTACTTATTTCTTCGTGACTGGGGAGCTCAGGCTTCATAAGCTTTCTGGTTTCTTCTGGGCTCCCTTACATATTCCTATATGTATTCTTGTATTGTATTATTTTATTTTGGCTAAATAAAAATGGACTGAACTGAACGGAACTGAACGCCTTGCTAAAATTTGAAAACCCGGCAACGTGAAACTTCAAACGCGTAACGGCAAACTGCAGTTTGCGGTTTGCGCTTTCCCATGAAAATCTTGATGCTAAAAGTCTCTACATTGTACAAGAAAACTTCTGCGAAAGTAACCTTGTAGCCGGCATTTTGAATGTGGACTACTAGTACTTGAAAGGTCATCAAGGGAGAACAAACCTCACTGTTCGTAGACGACTTTTACTTATTCGGGTTTTGGACAAAACGGCAATGGTCCACGTCCAAGGGAAAAAAGTATTTTTGCGAGACCTTAGCAAAGCAGATAGCGGCCAGAATTTCTCCGGGAGCCAGGACGAAACACAACGATAACGAACACAGTGCTTGCAAACGCAATAGACTCGAAAATCGTGGGAAAAATCGGTTATGGGTTCATGATAACCGTCACGAATATAGGGACATTCCATGACCACTTTGCCTACTATAAGAAAGTTAATGTTTGGTGTAGTTGGTGCAGTTAGAGTAGTTGGTGTAGTTGCTGTAGCTGGTGTAGTTAGTGTAGTTGGTGTAGTTAGTGTAGTTGGTGTAGTATATGTAGTTGGTGTAGTATATGTAGTTGGTGTAGTAGCTGTAGTTGGTGTAGTATGTGTAGTTGGTGTAGTATATGTAGTTGGTGTAGTTAGTGTAGTTGGTGTAGTTAGTGCAGTTGGTGTAGTATGTGTAGTTGGTGTAGTTACTGTAGTTGGTGTAGTATATGTAGTTAGTGTAGTGTGTGTAGTTTGTGTAGTTGGTGTAGTTAGTGTAGTTGATGTAGTATGTGTAGTTGGTGTAGTATGTGTAGTTGGTGTAGTATATGTAGTTGGTGTAGTATGTGTAGTTGGTGTAATATATGTAATTGGTGTAGTTGCTGTAGTTGGTGCAGTTTGGTTTAGTAGGTGTAGTTTGGTGTAGTTTTGTGTAGTTGGTGTAGTTTTGTGTAGTTGGTGTAGTTTGGTGAAGTTGGTGTAGTTTGGTGTAGTTTTGTGTAGTTGCTGTAGTTTGGTGTAGTTTGGTTTAGTAGGCGTAGTTTGGTGTAGTGTTGTGTAGTTGGTTTAGTTTGATGTAGGTGGTGTAGTTTGGTGCAGTTTTGTGTAACAACTGCACTAAATACACCAACTACACAAACTTATGGTGGCCGATATAGACATAAGACGAATAATAGATGGCAAAACGTATACAAACTTAACAAAAAACACCCCAACTTAATTAACATCATGTCAACTTAATGATACCCAGGCAAACTTAATAAAACACATGCAAACTTAATAATACGCAGGCAAACTTAGTAAAGAGCAAGCAAACTTAATGATACGCGTGCAAACTTAGTAAAGAGCATTCAAAGTTAATAATACGCATGCAAACTTAATAAAACGCACACAAACTTAGTAAAGAGCATTCAAAGTTAATAATACGCATGCAAACTTAATAAAACGCATGCAAACTTAGTAAAGAGCATTCAAAGTTAATAATACGCATGCAAACTTAGTAAAGAGCATGCAAACTTAATAATACGCATGCAAACTTAGTAAAGAGCAAGCAAACTTAATGATACGCAAGCAAACGTAATAATATGCATGCAAACTTAGTAAAGAGCATTCAAACTTAACAATACGCATGCAAACTTAATAAAGCGCATGTAAACTTAATAATACGCTTTCATACTTAACGGAACATGCGCCACCTTAACAAAGAGCATACAAACTTAATTTTGTGCAAACGTACTAAAACGTGCGCTAATTTTAACAAATCACTAAGTTTGCATCCTCTTTACTAAGTTTGCACGCGTATTATTAAGTTTGAATGCTCTTTACTAAGTTTGCACGCGTATCATTAAGTTTACTTGCTCTTTACTAAGTTTGCATGCGTTTTATTACGTTTGCTTGCGTATTATTAAGTTTGCATGCTCTTTACTAAGTTTGCATGCTCTTTACTACGTTTGCATGCGTTTTATTAAGTTTGCATGTTTTTTTCTAAGATTGTGTACGTTTTGCCATCTATTATTTGTGTGTAGTGCCTATATCGGCCACCATACAAACTACACCAACTACACATACTAAACCAACTACATATACTACACCAACTACACTAACTACACCAACTACACTAACTACACCAACTACACATACTACACCGACTACATATACTACACCAACTACACTAACTACACCAACTACACAAACTACACCAGCTACACATACTACACCAACTACACCAACTACACTAACTACAGCAACTACACCAACTACACTAACTACACCGACTACACATACTACACCAACTACAGTAACTGCACCAACTACACTAACTATAGTAACTACACCAACTACATATACTACACCAACTACACATACTACACCAATTAAACTAACTACACCAACTACATTTACTACACCAACTACACTAACTACACCAGCTACATATACTACACCAACTACACATACTACACTAACTACATATACTACACCAACTACACCAACTACATATACTACACCAACTACACATACTACACCAAATACAGCTACTACACCAACTACATATACTACACCAACTACACATACTACACCAACTACAGTAACTACACCAACTACATATACTACACCAACTACACATACTACACCAACTACAGTAACTACACAAACAACACTAACTACACCAACTACATATACTAAACCAACTACAGATACTACACCAACTACATATACTACACCAACTACACATACTACACCAACTACAGTAACTACACCAACTACATATACTACACCAACTACACATGCTACACCAACTACAGTAACTACACAAACAACATTAACTACACCAACTACATATACTACAGGGGCACCCGACGATAATTTTCGGAAAAATATCTGTTCGGAAGACGATTTGAGATCTAGAATTTTCGGATCATTTTCTGTAAAATTTCTTGCTTGCCTGCCTCTCCTAGGATTTTCGAACATCAAAAAAATGGTATAATTGCCCATTTTTAACAGATTTTTACCCTAAAAAGATCACCTAGAATTTTCGGGAGCCTTTTTTCTGGCTGAAATTTGCGAAAAGGTAAATTTTGATCCCTATAATTTTCGGATCACTATAACTTCAGCTAAGAAATCCGAACAGATGAAAAATTTTTAGGGGATAAAAATAAGCCTTTATCTATCGTTTAAATACTTAATTACGTTCAAAAATGCTATGTTTATGTGGCTTTGAACTATATCCTCGTTGGGTGCCCCTGATACTACACCAACTACACATACTACACCAACTACAGCTACTACACCAACTACATATACTACACCAACTACACATACTACACCAACTACAGTAACTACACCAACTACATATACTACACCAACTACACATACTACACCAACTACAGTAACTACACAAACAACACTAACTACACCAACTACATATACTACACCAACTACACATACTACACCAACTACAGCTACTACACCAACTACATATACTACACCAACTACACATACTACACCAACTACAGTAACTACACAAACAACATAACTACACCAACTACATATACTACACCAACTACAGTAACTACACAAACTACACTAACTACACCAACTACATATACTACACCAACTACACATACTACACCAACTACACATACTACACCAACTACACTAACTACACCAACTACATATACTACACCAACTACACATACTACACCAATTAAACTAACTACACCAACTACATTTACTACATCAACTACACTAACTACACCAGCTACATATACTACACCAACTACACATACTACACCAACTACATATATTTCACCAACAACACTAACTACATCAACTACACTAACTACACCAACTACATATACTACACCAACTACACATACTACACCAACTACACAAACTACACCAACTACATATACTACACCAACTACACATAGTACACCAACTACATATACTACACCAACTACACATACTACACCAACTACACTAACTACACCAGCTACAGCAACTACACCAACTACTCTAACTGCACCAACCACACCAATCATTAACTTTCTCATTTTGTTAAATTTAAAATAAGTAATCACAAACTTATGATTGAACATGGTCGATATCAAATCGATCATTTGCCAAGAGAAAATAGATTATGCCCTTTATGTAACTCAAATCAGGTAGAAGATGAGATTCATTTCCTCTTTCAATGTAACAAATACTCAGTACAGAGACAGGCATTTATTAATCAAATCAATCGAGTAATACCTGACTTTGACAAGAAATCATCTCCAGAAAGCATAAAACTGATAATGAATTCGAAGGAACATCATGTAAATAAGTTAGTTATGAAGTTTGTTTCCTCCTGCATGAAAATACGTGATTCATTGTTAGTAATGTAACTGAATTTTTCTAGATTATTATTAGGGGTGTTTGTTTTATATTTTGATTGACATATACATGCTTTTGCAATACTGTAAAATGATGCGGTCATGCAAATAAAGCAATTTATTACTATTACTATTACATAGTGGGCAAAGTGGTCATGGAATGTCCCTATATTCGTGACGGTTATCATGAACCCATTACCGAAAAATCGCTAAAATAGAGCACGGGCGATCCAGAGAGAACTGGAAAAATCTGTTGCCCGAAAAGAAGGTTTAATTGTTTGCGCCTACTTCGTTGCCTTTCAGTAAATGGAACTGATTTGTACAAATGGTAAATAGGGGATGTTATAATACACGCACACTTTAAAAGCTGCGCTGGACAAGAGTAAAGCCCCTGCGATTTATTGGAGAGAGACTAAATTTCTGTTGAAAAGGAATCACCTAATGTATACAATTCATTTTTTACCTTAATAGAAGTTCTAAGTCCCTTTGTAATTCAGGGTAATTTAGCAAGTTTCTTAATGTTTCGTTTAGAAAGGTTTTTAATTGGGGCGTGTATAACAATATTAGTTATAAGAAGGTTGAAAATAGATAATCAAGGTTTATGAGCAGGTTGAAAATAGATAATCAATATTGTTAGATTTTTTTGACATTATATTGTCCCAATCGACTGATGAAAGGTCACTGTTAAAACGTTCTGCAGAGAACTGAGAAAAACCACGCTTACGGGTTTTTTTTCTTTCTATGGGCCTTTTCCTTAACAGAAGTCACAATGCAAAATGACAAAAATGGTCAGAAACATCAGTGACTTCCGCTCTGTAAGACTTGCTCAAGATTGTTAACAAAAATATAAAAGTATTGTCGATTAGTGATGCAGATGCAGATAAGACTGTTCATGGCTGTGACGCGATGTTAGTGTTTGTAAAAGGCACACGCGCTTTCCTGTTGAAGCTAATATTTCCCAAATATAGGTTAAGTAATCAAGGCAAGAATCTGGCGAATTATCTTGGCGATAAATAATACCACAAATAATGTTTCTTTTGCTTGGAGAATGAAAATTCAACCTATAAAGCTTGAAATGCTTCAGTTGATATTTTTTTCAGTAGAGAATAATAAAGCTGATTATCAACAGGAAAACCTACGCAAAATTGAAAATTGAAAGGCTTGATTCTCCATGTTCTTTAGACAAACTAGAACTAAACACTTTAAAGCTATGTGGGAAAAAATATCGGCATCGAATACGCGGAACAGTTTAAATTCTTATCAAGAGTTGAATTCATGCCGAATAAGTCAAGATCGTAAAGAGTGGGTAAACATTCGAATTTTTTTCCCTATAGGAAGCTCACTTGCAAGTGAGTTATTAAACTGACCAAGATAAAGAGGTAAATTGCCCGTAAAGTCACAGAACGGTAATTCCTTTAACAACGATTTTGTGCATTTTTGTTTCTGTTTGGTTCTCATAGAGAGCGTTGAAAGTAAAGATCAGCTTTGATAGGAGGGCAAGAGTCAACTTATCTCTAGCCTCCAACTTACTCACTCTGACCAATCGTTCGCAAGCGCGCTAGACGGACGGATTTGATGATCCTAGAAGACTCCGTCTTGCGTAGAAAAACAAAAACCTCCCTTTGCCCAGCAGAACTTGAAATCATTTTCGTTCTTGAACGTTTTAAGCTTCGTACAGCAGTTCCTGAAGTCGCGGTGAAAAATGGTCAAACAACGTTAAGTCGTTTATTTGCACGTTAACCTCAAACCCTAGATATGGGATTACTAGCCTGACGCAGGTGGAGACTCTGCGCCTTTTAGACATCACCTTGTCTTTAGTTAAGCGTCGCGTAAATTTGCTTATAATGGCGTTGGGCTTGTTTGAAGCTTGGCTAGCGAGAGCTCTATGGGCAATATCAATAGCTGTCATCGAGATTCTAGTCTTTTATTCCGAGTGCAAGAAGGCAGGCATTAGGCAGCTGTCTGTTCGGCAGATTCTCCCTCTCCATGCACCGGCATTCCAGGTATTTTCAGGTTTTTTTCCATAGCTGTAATCTTTGAAACCTTGAATGGCGGTTGTCATCTCTAAACACTTTTTCAACCATTTTCAACCTCTCAAATATAAGTTTCCGTTCCTGAGTTTTTTGTCTGGGTTCTAAACAACACCAAGTCATTATATTCGTCACTGAGATATTGAACCGACTAACATTTATTCTTCTCAGGAGATAGAGAGCGTTCGGAATTTGTAGTCAATCTTGTTACTGTTGTTACCTTTGACAAACAGCTAATTTTACCTTTTAGGGCCTTTTTACATGGGGTGGGGGACCCCGGTCTAGTAGGGTAAGTTTCTTTTGTTTTCACGCTCTGGGGGACACAAAACAAAAGAAACTTACCCCACTAGACCGGGGTCCCCCACTCCATGTAAACAGGCCCTAAGTTCTTCAACGTCGTTCAAAAGAGATCGACTTTCCTCTAGAAGTTTCTTTGTTTGCTTTGATTTCCTCTGATGTTGTCTCCTAGCTTGAATAGTTTAATAATATAATTTTGAGTGCGAGGGAATCGTGCAGCACGTCTGCTTAGACGCGTCACTGGTACGTTCATCCCCAATTTCATCGCATGATAATAGTCTCCATTGTGTACAAGCTAAGAAAATTCGGGTATGTTCAAATTGACCACATTCCGAATATTATAAGAATAAGTAGAATAGACTCTAGAGGTCTCCGAGAAATCTGCTTGAAATAAAATAATGAGATGAATGTTGTTTTTAAATGTTCCAAAGCTGATGGCTGAACAGATTTATAACAAAACTTTTGCATATTATTATTTTAATATTCTGGAATACGATCATTCAAACACATCCTTATTTCCTATCACAATATAAACGTCCTATGCTTTCCTCTTTTACTTCAGTGAAGGCACTTGGCAAATGTGATGCTAAAGTTGACTCCAGTAATTAAATAATTTTTACAGATGTCCTTTTGAACATTTTACCCTACTTTGACAGTAGAGCATAGAGCATGTCTAATTTTTTAAAATTACTTTTCTGACCCCTCCCTCCAATCCGGCCGCTCTTTAGGATCATATAAAGAAATATTACCAGCATAATTATAACATGTCACATAAGCCAAGCTCACAGATAAGCTACATTCGTAATTTAGGAGCTGAAATTTTCAAAAAAAGTATCATTTTCGCCAACTTTCAGTCAGTTGTTGTAAATGTTGCTCCATATAAGTTATTTGAAAACAGCATCGGCTCCTAAAAACAAATCAGTCGCCGGCGGAGGTTGTGAAAAGCTAAAAACGGACGTGGAACTGTTTGCTCGGCTTGTTCTTTGTGTCTACTCCCCCCAACTTTTGAAAAGGGGGTGTGGAGAAAGGTGTGGAGGAGGGCGTGCAATAACGTAACCAATCACAGAACAGACACGTAGCTATCTCCCACAACCCTTTGTGTCCCCTGCTCAGAACAAATAAAGTTCAAAATGGCGGAACTTGAGGAATTAAAGGTTAGATCGAAATGGTTGAACTGATTGTATTTTCAATTTTATTTGAAGTCGGAGGGAAATGTTAATCCTTTTATAATTTTTGTAAAGTACTTGACAGGTTTTGGCAACGAATTTGCTTCTGAAGCTTTACCAGATGCGCTGCCAGTTGGGCAGGTAAGTTTGCGGACAAAAAATATCAGCTTTTCATAACTCAATGAAGTGTTTAAGATTACTTCATAAGATTGAGGCGATACTGATTGATTTTGGGATATGAACTGAGAAAGTTTAAAAGCGTAATGGAAAAATTCGCCAAATTAGGTAAACAAATTGAAAGTTTTTGAGCTAGGAGTCTCGGCATTTCTTCTGATAAATGGGTCAGCGAAGTAGACGCGCACGCGCCCCAGCTAAATCGGCAACTTGAGGTGTAGATATTATAGCTAAAACATCAGCTGAAATAATATAGGATAAGAACGAATAGGAGCAGGTTACAAAATCAACCCGTCTAGCCAGCAGCGTTCGTGTAGAACTCTTGTGGCAGTGGATGGAGGCTGCCTCAAACTAATTCTTGCCAATAAAGCTGGCCAGGGAAAACTGGGTTAGTAATAGCTTAATTGCTATCAATAAAATAAAATAATTATATTTTATCTTTTTAGAACAGTCCCCAGAAATGTCCCTATGGTTTGTATGCTGAGCAGCTGTCAGGCAGTGCCTTTACAGCACCACCAGAATGCAATTATAGAAGGTAACAAAATCATGTCAAATCATGAGGAAGAAATAAAAGAAACAACCTGAGAAAACAGCAGACATTTCGTGTTTCCACCACTCATTTCTCCACAAAATGAATTCTGAGAAACATGTATGAGCACCAGAGCTCTGTCTGGGTAGTGCCTCTGATTGGTTGTGAAACGTGGGAAATTCGAATCAACTAACCAGAAGCACTACCCAGACCTGAGCATAAGTGACATGTCATCAGTATGGAATTTCTACGCTTGTTCCTGAATCTTCATTTTACAGGGAAATCAGTGGTGGTGTCGTGAAAAAGATGCGGCTGTTTTCTCAGGCCAAAAAAAGGAAAGAAAAAAAAGGGCTAAAAGAGACCCTGCCAGGGGGGGTCCCATGTCACCTGTATGAATTTTAAAACGTCTTGTGTCGGTGTTTATAAATGCTTGTCGCTTATTGTCGGCTTTGCCATCACTGTCGCAATGTGGCCGAGGGAGGTTGTCTCTTGTCGCGATTTCATTTTATGTACTGCAGTTGCTACTTTTTGGGCCATGTCGCTTGTCAGAATTTACCCTGGCAGGGCCTCCTAAATGTTGTAAATAATATCAGTGATGATTTTGCAATAGGTCAGTTTCAAGTTTTTAAAATTCATACTTGGCTTGGAAGCTCAGGGGAATAAGACAAAAGAAATTAGGTTACTATTATTTTGCAATATTCAGAGCACGATGGGTAAGAAGATCTGCTTATCTGCCCATTGAAAAAAATTTGTGCGGATACTCAAACTGGAGGATTTGAAAGAAGATAATTTAATCACAACATTTTTTGAAAACAAAGGATCCTCCAGCTTTTTGCAAACGGATCAATATTAACACTTAAGTATTTCAACAATGCATTATTTATTATTATTTAAACAAAACTTGTAATTTATTTGGAATCCAAACTTCATCCTTCATATTTAACACTTGCAAGGGGTATGTTTTGGCCAACACAGATAGGGTATTTATTGGGTAGAAAGGGGCATTACTGTAATGTCCCTTTTTCCTCAATAAATACCCTATCTGTGTCGGCCAAAACATACCCCTTACAAGTTGCATGTTTCCCTGATGTTGTGGTTAGTATGTCAGTGTGAAAATCTTAATTTTTTTTAGCTGGCTGTACCGCATCAGGCCATCCGTCGTTCATAAGCCTTTTGAGAAAATACCTCAGGGAAATTTAACTCACAGCTGGGATGAGTGTGATCCTAATCCTAATCAGGTCAGATCTGGCAATTTGCAATTAACTGTAAATTCAGCAGAGATCCCATGCTATAGTGTGGGACTTTATCAGGTTAGCAGTAGTAGGGTAGTCTGGAACAAGTATAAGATTTTCTTTCTGGGGTGGTAACTTTTAAAGAGTACTTTCCCATTGGGCAATGGTCCAACAGGTCATCCTATTAAAAAATCATTAACTTACATGAGCAAGAAATGGCCCCGGGCAAGCATTAATGTGTGACCTGCTTACGACAAGCTGGAATTCAAGCTTTTTTGAGCCCTGGGAATCAAATACTGTATGGCCTTTCTTTTGCATTAAAATTTACTAACTCTCAAGAAGCTGCGTTATTATGTAGTGTAATTGCACTTAACGTAATAATTCTTTCATTCTCAAGAATTGCCCAGAATCAACTATCGTGGAAAAATTTAAATTTCATTTTTGTAAAAGAAAATTTAAACATACAGCTAGAGAAAGAAAAACAACTTGATGGTGTGATGTAAAATTCCAGTAAAAGAGGCTTCATTTTAAAGGTTTCATTGTACAGATTTAGGTTATTCAAACTTAAGAGCTACATACACTCAACATACATCTCATAGTTAATTAAAAGGTGTCCAATCATGGAATAAGGCTTTATGCTTTTAAAATATGCCTCGCCAGTGATCTACTGATGTAATAAATGGAGAATCTTAAAAGTGTGGTTTTCCACTGGCTGAGCCGGAATGAATGAAGCAGAAAATGTTTTTCTCACACACGGCTGGGAGTATGGGTTTAGGTGTTCTGGGGGTCTTCAGGTCAGATGCTCTTTCAAGTTCAGTTGTTTTGTTTCCATATGCCATCGCCTGACCTGCCCCGCCCACCCACCCTCCCTCCATATTGTTTTAGGATTAAAGTAGTACAGTAGTTCTAGCAGGATTGTTATTGTATCTAGTCTCAGTTTCTTGTTAGCCATTTATTAGCTCTTTTGTGCTGTAATATTAATGATTTCTGGTGTTGATATAATAATTTAAAAGTCAGATTGGCATGAATTCCTGTTGTGTGTGAAAATTCTCCTCTTGTTTAACAAGAGAATGTAAGGCATCCACAAGGGCAATCCAGCAGTTTATCAATACTTACTTAAAGGGTGTTTTTCACAACCCCCCAATAATTAACTCTGAAGTGAAGTCTTTCGCAGTGTCTTGCAAATAATGTTGATAGAACAGTTGTGTTTAAATTACATGTATATTTGGCTGAAAAGGTCAAACACAAGAAATGGAGAAGTGTAGTGGCAGGAAAAATGCATGTTGAAGCAGTAATTCTTGACTTAAAATTTACCTCCTCTTTTAACAGAGTATGAACATGTGCTCAATATTTAACTTTGTAAAGGAATAGTACAGTTTTAGGGACCAGCTCAGCTAATAACAAAAACAATACATGTATTGTGTTTTATTCTAAACTTTAGATGCGCTGGAAGCCTTTTGAAATTCCTGCAAATGGCAGTAAAATTGACTTCACACAAGTATGTAAATAGTTTTTAAAGGTGCTCTTTGCGGTTTCCTAGTGCTTTTAACTCCTAAACTATTACTGACATGTATTTTAGTAATTAAGTCATTATTTCATCATATTTCAAAAGTGGCGCAGTTTGAGAATTCAAGGTGACTCTGTACTCCCTCTCACAAATTATTTTTGAAAACTCAACAGTAAAAATTTCGATCACAATAATGCCATGATTACTTGAATGTCAATTTATTTTTCATGCTCTTACTAGTTTCTAAACAGTAATTAAATAAACAGTAAAAAAACTGACAGTTCTCTCTCTCTCTCTCTCTTTTAAACTGAAAAGGTCATGCACAAGTTAGCTTAAATCAACATGATTAATATTTTTGCTAATTTTTTTTAGGGTCTTCATACGATATGTGGTGCTGGAGATCCTCGTACTAGACATGGAGTTGCTGTTCATGTTTTTTGCTGTGATATTTCTATGAAAGACAAGTAAGTAGTTTGACTGAAATCCTTGAATTAAAAACTAAAAACCATTGAGTCTGTGGACAAAATCCGGTGATGTCAAAATTCAAGTGAGTGCTTTCATTTTCAACAGTGTAATTACACAGTAGTATTTATTGTTTCAGTATTGTACGAAATGAAATAAAGAATTTTTCCTGAATTTTGACTCTTGGTGCTCTTGGGAGTCAAGGATTAAGCTAAAGTGGTGTGGGTTCCCTGTTGCACATGAGCATCTTTGTGGGCAAGATAATTATAGATTTTCTTTGTGTTGTCTTGTGATTGAGTGACTGTCATTGTGACTTTGAATGCAACAGATTTTACTTAATAAACACCATGTAAGTTATTTGTGAGACACTTAGAGTACAAAAACATTGAATATTATATATTAAAGGGTGTTGTTGGAATATAAAGGTGTGAAAGTTTCTGCATCCTTATGTGCTGTGAATAACAAGTGCAGGGTCTCTTTAGATTTTCATGATTTAATAAGATAATTTAATTTTTTGTCCTATTGATTTTTCAAAGCAAGAGCGTCAAAAACATATCAAGTTTTTTCCCGTTAAAGCTAATTGGGGAATGGAGCACCTCGCTAGCCTGGAGGAAAGGGACAAGCAGCGTGCAAAGAAAGTACTTTAGTGTCCGATAGCCCGGGGCTATTGGATTTTGCTATCGGGCTAGTGAATTCTGTTTTTAACTTGCCCGATGGGCAAGTGATATTTTTTTAGGAATTCGAATAACAAAAGAACTGTAATCAATCCTGCTCATCAAATTTTCTTCGGGCTAGTTGAAATGACTTTCGGGCTAGTACATGTTAGCCACAGCTTGCCCGAATGGCAAGCTGTAAAACTGACTTTCTTTGCACCCTGGACAAGGCTGGTGTGTTCTTAAACCGAGTACATTGGCCCCTGCTGACAACTTATTCTTTGCCTTTTAATTTGGAAAATAAGGAAATCTTTGGTTTTTACAAAATAATTACTAGGCAGCCTAAATATGTCAGCCTTATTGAAATTTTCCATAAAGCCTTTGACAATGAGCTATCCATTGGTCATGACATCTTCACCTGCACAGTGAATAACCATATACAGATACTAAGAACATAACTGCAGACTTTCTGTTGCTATGGGCCAGTGGTAATACTTATTTATACTCCTGCCAGTATCTGTACCTTGCTCAGTAGTACCTTTAACTTGGGTGTCTTGAAAACAAAGACCCCCAAGACCCCTACAGCTCTATTACCCCCTACCATGTAACTCTGAATTTCATTGATTAGGTTAGGAAACTGAGTGAATTAGGTTCCATTTAGGTCATTATACTTAGCAGACTGACCTGAAAGTTGATCCACTCAGTCTTATGGGGTCTTAGGGGTCTTTATTTTCAAGAGACCCCCCTTGGTTTTGACTCTTCCACCTGGTGTGCCCCTTTCTCTTGTTTTTCCCAATTTTGGAAGTTTGTTAACTAGCTGCATTCACTTAAGATTCTGATTTCCTTTCAGGTGCATGTATAACTCTGATGGTGATTTTCTTATAGGTGAGTAGATGTTGGATTATTGTCAACTGTATTAATAATGCTCATCAATAATAAAAACAGTGACATTTTATAAATACCAGTCGAGAGAGTACTTATGTGAGATCAAAGTTTTTCATTAAATATACTACTAATTAAGTCACTTCTAGGATAAGCCCTTGAAATCATGTAGAGTTAATAAAACTCCTTGTAATTATAATTTTGACCTTTTTTTATGTATTTCAGTTCCCCAAAAGGGTTCTTTGGTGATCACAACAGAGATGGGCAAAATGGAAGTAGAACCAAATGAAATTTGTGTGATCCAGGTAAAACTGTACACTCATAAGGTCCACCTTGCTTGATTCACTAAACTTTACGTGTAGCTTTGAGGTCATGAAAGGGTAGTAAAAGGATTTCTTGAATTTGTTTATTGTTTAATGATGAACGTTCTTTCATTGGGTTATTCCAGAAAAAATCCACACCCCCCCGACGGATGGGGTCCTTTTTTAACCCCCCCTCTCACCTGGATTTCCTGAAGCACAAGACCCCCCCTCCTAACTGGATTTCCAAGGTGGAAGACCCCCCCTCCCGCCTGGATTTCCGGGAAAAAGTAAAAGGCTTAAATTTAATTTATTTTTAATGGAAAATACACGCAAACACGTCTAAATGTTTTTGTTTTAATTTCTAAAGCTTCAGCTTATATTAAACTAAGAATTCTATCGCGTGGAACTAAAAACAAAAGGAGCAAAAAACAAAAATGCGAACGACACCTGAACGAGTGTTTACATAATTTCTTAGCTTATAAAAATCACTCTTCGCTCTTCGCGCGCGGGCTCTGGGTACAAGTAGAAATGTGTCAGGCGTTTGACGCTCTTCGTGACAACAACGTTGCGACGAGTTCCTTCAGGCCCGTTCTTTAGTATCTTTTTCGCGTTTTCTGCTATAAAAGGACCTGTAAAGCAACTTAGATTATCATTTATGTCAGGTGAGAAATATATGAACAAAACATTTTGACTATTTTCAGGGTCTGAAAGCGCTTAAGTGTCATCGAACTAAACGTTTGATTTGTATCAACTATCGGTCGAAATGACCCCTGCAGAAGACTTTTTTAAGGTCAACCCCCCCTCCCGCCTGGATTTCCGGAGTCTTCGACCCCCCCTCCCGCGAGAATTTCCAGAATCCCATCCGTCGGGGGGGTGTGGATTTTTTCTGGAACAACCCATTATATATACCTTTAATAGAATTTAACCCTTTTGAGGCCTTAGTAGTTGCAACAACTTTGCAGTGACTCTACAATAACTGACAATAATTTATTACAGTAACTATAATTATTCCTTAATCTTGGAAGACCATAATATTTTCTATTTGTCTATGAGCACTCCTAGTTCTTATTTTTTGTAGTAGTTACACCAGAATTAGTGGTATTAATGGTATTGATATGTTTTTTTTTTAATTCCATAATTGAGTCTTCTTGATTTTTGCATTTTAGGATACTGATAAAATAATTTTTTGGTTCTCAGTTGCAAAAATGAACTAAGTTGTTCTATCATTTTCAGCAAGGAATAAAGTTTTCTGTGGAGATAAGTGAACCTTCAAGAGGTTACATTCTGGAGGTGTTTGATGCACACTTTGTTTTGCCTCATCGTGGACCAATAGGTATAATTAAGAGAAAATCACTTTCCCTAAGTTCACGGAAAGAAATTTTATGAAGGAAAAGTCATGCATGAACCAGTGCAGCCCACTTTGGTCCCACTGATGACCAGTCCAAAACGCTTTGTGTATGTAAAATTGTGTCTAGATCAAAAATAATGGAATTAGCCAAGAGCATCTTAGAGGATACTTAACATGCTTTGTCATTATGTACCTGTACCTGTATATTTACATGTACCTGTACAGGGTTTGAGCCAGGCTGGGCGATTGCGCCAATCCTGCGCTACAATTTAAATTGTCCCTTAAAAAAACGGCCAAGGGGACAATTTGTCCCCTTCAAAATTTAGGGAAAAAACTCGAAAGGAAGCACACACATAGAGATTTATTTCAGTACAGAAACTGGAAGCTAAAACAGAACATGGAAAGTGTATTTTATCGCACGTTTAAAGTTCATTCTAAAGTCACGTTTCAGTCATGCTCTACTGAACACATACATCTCAACCAAGTGTGGTGAACGCGCCTGGCAATCATTAACATGTCCCATCGAAAATGTGTTCGAACATTAGAAAGCTTTTTCGCTCCAAATGAAAGCCAGAGTGAATCAGAGAAAAATGATACAGAAGAAGAACAGTGCATTAATCAGGAAGAAGCGGATGAGGATCAAAGGAAACCAAAAAAATCACGAGATCACAAGTGGTTGCGCTATGAAAAGGAGGCGATGTTCTGCTTTTTTTGTCAGAAATTTAAGAAGACAAACCCCTTTGCATCAGCAGAAGGGTGTACAAATTTCTGTCCCCCTAAAAATAAAAATGTCCCCCAAAATTTTAGCCAAGGGGACAAATTGTCCCCCAGTGATCAAATCCTAGCTCAAACCCTGCCTGTATCTATGTTATTTGCATTCACACTCTGAACAGAGTTTAGTTTTGTTTAATTTACAACTATAGTATTGCATTATTTTGTTGAAGTATTTCACACTTACAAACACCAAAAAGTGCTTGTCTGCTTATGATTTAGATCTAGATTTTCAACTTTTATTTAGGTGCTAATGGACTGGCAAACCCCCGGGACTTCCTAACACCTGTAGCATGGTTTGAAGACAGAGATGTGTCCTCTGGTTTCACAGTTATCAGCAAATTCCAGGGAAAACTCTTCAAAGCCATTCAGGTTTGATTTAGAAGTACTACAGCTGTATAGTTGCTAAACTTAGTTGTAATACCAGTAAAAACCTTCCAATAGACCAATTTCAATATCTTAAAATTTACACTTGGCTCTGACGCTTGGGAGAATAAAACAAAAGGAATCATCTTAAGGCTCAGCAATGAATAATACATTTCTTTTGTTTTATTCCCCCAAGCCTCATAGCCAAGTACGTGTATGAATTTTAATATATCGTAATTGGTTTATTATAGTCCCTAGGGGATGCAGATATATAATGGTTTATATCTGGAGCCAGGAGGTACTGCTTGACAGCAGGGTATAGTTTTGTGTCTGTCGTGAAAAATTATAGGGCATTGTTCATCCAAAGTAGGGCCTTCTAAAAATTTTAAATATGCACATGAGCCATGAGGCTCACATGGCCAGAACTTATCCTGGTTTTTGTGGCAAGAAGCACTTAGGACTACAATAACTCCTCCCTGAAGATAATGCTAATCCACTATATGGACGCTCCCAGCAGAAGGTTGGCAGTACCCATTCATTCACCTGGGTGAATGAAAAAGTGGAGCAAAGTTACTTCTTGTCTAAGGAAATGATGTGACAGCAACGCTTGAACCAAGACCTACAGATCCAATCCTCTTAACCTCTTAAGCACCACACCTCCTAATAAGAATGCATTAATTCAAAAAGCCAAACAACACATCTGTAACTTGTATTGCTTCTGTTGAAATGACGTTGCATTAGTGTCGTATTCCTCTCTCCTCCACCCATTCTTCATTTCTCTTATTATTGTTACTTATCAATTTATATTATTATTATTATTTTGTTCTTTAATCATTTATGCATGCTTCTTTTGCGTGTTGTTTTCTTTAGGGTCATTCCCCTTTTGATGTTGTGGCTTGGCATGGTAACTATGCTCCTTACAAGTACAACCTAAGCTGCTTTAATGTCATCAACACAGTTTCATTTGACCACTGTGTGAGTATATACATGTGGATGGTAGCTGTTCTTGATCTTAAGTTAAGAAGATATCTGACCATGAATCATGCATCCATTGTCATGGAATTTTCCTCCATACGGGGTCTAATATTTGTCAACCAGTAAAAGCAATTTTTTTTTTCACGGGATCTACCCCCAATACCCTTTTAAAAACCATTTTTCACGAAAAAGGTACCCCTTTCATATACCTTCTATTGACAAATGGTACCCCTTTCACATACCTTGTTTAGAACTTTGCATCCCTTTTAACTGCTGTAAATGCACTGCCTTTTAAATTGGAATCAATCACAAAAATAGAACGTTTTCTCAACTCTATAAATCCATAAAATTCATCCGTTCGGCCCTTTGGGTCCTTTCACAGACCCAAAAGACATAATTATTTCCGTACCCTTTTATATACTTCAACAAGTAAAATCCCTACTGTTTCATAACTGATAAAGATACCCCTTTCGGGTGGAGCCTCCCCATATAAGCCATCGTAGGGAGTATTCCCCCCGGGATACAGCTATATTTCCCCATACACCCCACTGCACACCTGGGTATAATGATTATTAATTTCTCATGTTTTAATCGCAAGCATGGATTGAAGAAAGTATCTGAGTTGCCAGTGATGGGAAACAAACAGGTCATTTCTCAAACCAAATCCTTTTATTCTTTGTAGGACCCATCAATATTCACTGTGTTGACTTGTCCCAGTTTAAAGCCTGGAGTTGCTATAGCAGATTTTGTTATATTTCCACCAAGATGGAGTGTTGCTGAGAACACTTTCAGGCCACCTTACTATCACAGTAAGTAACGTTTTGAAGGTTATAAGTACAGTGAGAGTGACTTCTGCTGGACCTGACCAAAATTACAAATGGACGGACATTTTTTGGTTATGTAGTGTAGCAGGGTCATCCTTTAACAGCATCCTGTGGCTCCTGCACCTTACCTTTGCTCTTAGATGACTAGGAAGTCGTTTTTCATCAGAAATACTTTGCTGGGCACCCTGGATTTCACAGGTTTAGAGCACTGGGCTTCCTTTCAATTTTTCTTAAAGCACAGCCTTGTGCAGTATGGATGTGGCTTGTTTCATGTGCTTCCTATGCAAATCAACAAGTATGCATGCTTTAAATGGGTAATGTCTATGACTATTTTAATATCACAGGGATCAGATACAACTGTAGATCTCATCAAAGTTTGTGAAAGAAACTACTTTACTGGGGCAAACAGGAATAGCAAAGAAATTCACGTCTCATCAAGGCTGTTGGTTGTTTGGCATGTATTTGAATTTCAAGCAATCTGGTGGGCAGGATATTTTTTCCCCTTTTTTTCCCATAAGCTTTCTATTACATTTGTGCTGCATGCAATTTTTTTCTTCTGACAAGCACTTGCAGGAAATTTTTTTCAAAATCACCCACCCTTCCCCCCCCCTCAAGAGTTAAGTGGTCGGCCCCTTACAAAGAATCTTGCATCCCATTCCCTGGAATACAAGTGCAGGGGCAGTAGAAAATGGATCACTAAGAATGATACGAGGAGATGCAAAGTGAAGGAAGCTGATAAGAGCAAAATACAATGTATGGTCCAAGCAAGAGTAGTGTCTCCCTCCTCACCTTAAAGAAAAAACTTTTTAAATTGTAATGAAATAAGTAGGAGAATGTTGAGGTACAGCGTAAAAAAAAAATGTTTAAGAGATTGAACTTAAAGCGCCATGTCTCTCAACCTTTACTTTTAACTTCTGAACAGGAAACTGTATGAGTGAATTCATGGGATTGATTTATGGAAAATACGAAGCCAAAGTTAGTACCTAGTATTTATTATATTCCAATTATTTATCTGCAGTTTGAAGGGTTTTGTTTTCGTTTTTGCTTTTTGTTGAAGAGCGAGCCACACCCTGCCTATGATCTCAGTTAAATTTTTCGCTTTATTAATTTTTGAGGGTGGTTTCAACTGGCTTACATGTAATTGGTCAAATCAAGGTGAGATTTCCTGAAGTTGAATTTTTAGGGAGCACATCAAAGTATAAAAAAAGAACAAAAAGTCGGTGTTTACGTCCTCTACAATATGTCCCATTGGAACGTTTCACGTTTTAGTCGAGCAGTGAGAAATGTACAAAAAAAGCATGATGCACGTGCACAGTTGTTCTTTTAGTGATCAAACCTATTGCTTCTTTGACGTTCCCGTTGCCATCGGCGTTGTGGTTGCTTAAACTCCCTGGTATTCGTCAGAGACCATAATATTTACGGTTTTTTTTCTTGTCATGTTAGGAGGAAGGATTTGCCCCAGGGGGTGGTAGTCTGCATAGCATGATGACTCCTCATGGACCGGATAAGGATTGTTTTGAGAAGGCGTCAAATGCACAGCTGAGACCCCAGCGAGTAGCAGATGGAACTATGGTATGTATAACATGAACAGTGCATAATTAATTCAAACCCTAGCCTGGCGTTTTTAACATTACCAAGTGGACCAGAGTAAAGAAATTGTATGTTGGCCATGACGGCATTCATGATCATTGTTTAGTGGTTACTTGAGTATATTGCAACCGGTTTAAAATCAATAAATGTATTGTCAAATGGCCGGGACAGCTGTTGACTCAAAGTGTTCTGTTGTGACAGTTTCAATGGATATATACTCTGCTTTGGTTCTTTTTTGCCCTTGCTTTAAATTTTATTTTCCTATGTACATCACAAAAAGATTATCAGACATTACCATACCCACAAAAACAAAGGAAAGTTAAACTTAAACCAGGAATAAAACTGAATCTCAACATATACCTGAAAGGACTTAAAAGTTACCTACTTGTTCTGCACAACTGTTCCTCATTCATTCTTTATTATTAAAAAAACTATTTGTCTCCCTAGTAACCGTAAAGAAAACCAAAAGTGTAGCCTTTGTTTTTTCTTCTTTCTCTCCTTCACTTTTCCTTTCGATTTTCTGCTTTGGCGTGATTTTCAGGTTTGTCGAAACCAATAGAAATCGCATATTGGCCTTATTCTAGTCAAATGGATACTTCAGCTTAGGCTCGTAGGATGAGATCTGGCTATGTGGAACTCCATGGCTTACCTTGATCTTTTCCACATCTATCATCATTTCTTAAGCTATGTTCAGACTATACTGGGAAGCTTTTCGTGACAAAGCTATTCGGTATTGTATGAATACCTATCCGATAAGAAAAGTATGTGACTCTCCCCTTTAGAGATCAGCGCCGCGCAGCTTCGCTTCGTTACAGAAATCGCGCCGAAATCACTGTTCTTATGTGTGAATAGAAAAGAAGCCTTGTCAGGTATGGTTTTCGCGCCGGCGCAAAAACTATCTGGTATAGCGGAAATATAGCCTTAGCTGGTTTGGGAATACTCTGCTACACAGCCGTTTTTAGAGTCGTCACGCAATGAGGAGCGTTGCGTGACGACACTAAAAACGGCTGTGTAGCAGACTAGTTTGGGAATTGCTCTATTCATTTTTTTTCGTTGTAGGCGTTCATGTTTGAAAGCAGTCTCAGTATGGCCATCACAAAATGGGGAAATGAAACATGTCTGAAAGTGGATCATGATTACTACAAAGTATGGGAGCCGTTAGAGAAACACTTCAATCCAAACTGGAAACCAGATGAGGAAAAGAAAGCAAGCTAGCGTTGAGAACTTAAAAAAGATAGGGTTCAGGGAGGAAGGAAGGAGAAAGAACAATGTTTGGCGGCCTGAGTGCAGATTTTGTGGTTAAAATTCGTTCTCAGGTTAATCATTTGTCTTCTGTGAATAACTAGGGCTAAGAAACAAAGGAAATTCTGAATCAAACTTAGCTTCCTTAGTAACCGTTCTTTGTGCTTAGGCTGCTTGGTGAAAGTTTGGTTTTTTTTTGCCCCAGAGCGCATTTTACCTACAATGCAGACACCTCCTATTCCTTTACACGGAATAAGAAAGTTGGGAAATTAAAGCCGTTGCTAGGGGTCCACAAGAACTCTCACGGCTTATTCTTAAGCTTATCAGTTTTTGGACGTCTTCGATTACTTTCCCCGTAGAAATAAGAAATTCTGCTCTGTATGTCAGTTGCGCCTCTCTTGTATGACATAAGAAAAAGTGAAAGAAAAAGTAACAGCAACAAAACTAAAACAAAAACAAACGATTCCACAGGTCATCCAAAACCACTAAAAGTCCAATGTTTGCGACCTTATTTTTGGTGATCCTGTGGTACTCTAAACTCGCGTCGAACATATTCTCATCAGTAAAGAGTCTTGACTCGAATAAATAGCAGGTGAAAGTCCCTGGTTATGGCCTGCTGTCACTACAAATGCTGTTCTCGTGGAAAGCATGCAGTGCGCCTGGCGCCGACCACGACTGGCGCTTTAAGTATATTCTACGTTGCAGGCCCTTGGAAAGGTGCAAGAAAGAACGAGGCGCGCGAGGGAGACACTCTCCTCTCGTGTGTCTTTGTCGCGCGCCCCGTCTTTTCTCGCTTATTACTTCCAAGCGCCTGCTATGTAGCATAAAGTTAGTGGGGGCCGGGCGATATACTCGGAACTAGGAGATGTCTGCATGCGGGCTGACACTTAAATTAGAATTCTTACACGGTTTAATGCCTCTTAGGACAAATCAGGACACATAAATATCTTTATATGGAGAATAAAAAAACAGATATTTTTAAACTAAAATGTTGATTGGTTCGAAGTGCAGCTTATAATCGAAATCTGTTGGGGAAACAGCGGTCTTGCGAGCAAGCTCTCCGTCGGTTCTTTTACTGACAGTCGCTGCCGTAGGTCGTCTCTTACATGTGAAAATTACAAGCCTTTTGTGGGTCCCACCCCTCTCCATCTGAATTTCTTGCGTGGGTTGGTCAACAGCTCCCGCAAGCTTCTGTTTCCCCAAGGTAGCCTCCTGATAAACAAACCAGCTTATTTTCGAAATTTGTAATTTTCTTTTTTAGTTTCCCTTTTAGCAGAAAATATGACAGAAATAACATTTCTCCTTTATTTACTGTCCTATCGAGGACTGAAGTGATAATACGCAAGGTGATAATACCCGAGACTACCTCTGTTGACTATGAAGCATAACGTGAAGCACTCTTTCAACCTAAATAAAAATGCTGTGCGAGTGAAAGCTTTCTGGCAGTCGTCAGACCATAAAATTTGGTAAACGGTTACTTTGGATTGTCTAGCATAATATTCATGACTTGATTCAATTTATCAAACACGAGTTGGAGTGTTTCATCTCTTAACAAGAAGTGGGTTGAATAAGCGAACTCAGTTTATAGTCAACAGAGATAATTTTGCCAGACCAGGTGCAGTAAAAGTCATGGCTATGGGTCAGATTAAAAGAGAATACTTCCCACAGCTCCCTTTGGACTGGATAGATTGTTCCCTTTGGGAAATCGCCTCTCCCAGGCTACAATGTAGATGAGGGAATCTCGGGTTTCGGCCCACTCTATGCTCAACTGCGTTATAATAAAGGACCTTCATACAAAAATAAGTCAGAAACGAATAGGCACTCAGAATATCAATTTTAATTCAACTTCCATTTTACAAACATGGCAAGAGTCTTGAAAACAACACACTCTAAAAACACTGACTAATCAAACTGAAACTTGATTAACTAGACGATATAGGTGCTTAAAACGAGCACCCTCAAAATGGCAAATTATAATAAACAAAATCAACGTGACTCTGATGTAAGTTTCAACCAAAACAGTGGGTATAAATTAAGCACTGCAAATCTCACTCTAATTTTCAGTTACATGGTGTAAAGAAATACTGAAAGGCCCAGCAGCTGATTCAGAGGGCATTTCAGAAGTGGGCCACCCCAGGAAACGGTTCAAAAACAGTTGTGGAAACACAATGCGAAAAACACTTTTCATTTTGATTAAAACTGAAAACCAAACGCTAACAACAGGAAAAAACTAACAACCGCTAAGTATACTTAAGACAAGAAAGCTAATTTTCGAGAGCAACCCTGCAAAATCATTCCAAAAAATATAGCTCAATCGGCAAAAATGCCATTGCCCCTCATTTCCCCATTTTCAGAAAAGAAGCGAGGTTGCATTTGCTGCATAGAGGCCCGTAATTGAGCTCACTCATTAATCTCAACACACTTTTAAAACTTATCCTTCTGTTTATATATTGGCTCATGAAGTTGAAAGAACTGTGAAGTGTTTCTTGGTGTTGAGGAAACCATTGTTGGTTCGCTTATGTGCTATTGTGGTGTGGTATTGTTCAGTGTCGTTCAGTTCCCGGGTGGGGGAGGGGTAGGGGGACTGCCTTATATAAGCCATATAGGCATGTGCCGCCCCAAAGGGTAGGGTGTTTCCGCCGTTTTGGTCTGAAAACGGGTATAGACTTTACCCATTTTGGTCTGGAATCGGGTATGGTTTTCAAGGGAACTACGGGATTGTATGAACGTATTTATTGTTTCAATTCCAAATAAGTAAGTAAGAAAAAGAATTATGCGAATTCGAAATGGTCGTTAAGAAATCTTTTTTGATGCTGTTCTAATCTAAGTAATGATGACGTAATTTCTTGGAGGCCAGGTCTGCAAACGGGCATGGATTTTTGGGGTCAGGGGCCCGTTTCTCGAAAGTCCCGATAATTAACGAGCCTGGTAAGCTGTTGCCTTTTACATTAAAGATCGAAGTTTCAATAGTTTTGCATCTAACACGATAAAACTATCAGTTAATGAACCAAAATGGAGTAGTTTGCTTGGCGGGACCCGCGCTCTTACTCTTTATATTTCGATTTGAATATTTGATTTCGGGCCCAAAAAGTTAACAGGACTTTCGAGAAACGGGCTCCAGGTGTGGAAAAGGGTGTGAAAAATGACAGATTTTAGTCTTTCTGGTCTGGAGAACCGGGCGGCGCACCCCTACCAAGAATTCCCAGGAGTGACCCCCGCCAGGGTCCAGTTTGTGATTGCAACACCAACAAGAAACTACCCAATTGTATGACTTTTGTATGAATAAGATATTCACGAAGCAAGAAATGAAAAAAAAAAAATCAACACACACGCACAATATATCCCGGTCACCGGAAGGTAACTTCAGACAGGGGAAGAAGTAAATGAAATGTGACTTAAGGCCGGGATTCCATTCAAAAGAATGCGTTATTTAACGTGGCCACCTTGTGCAAGATAAATGAGAGATTGGCTTGCAGGTTGATTTGAACGCTGACTTCTTGCCAGTTGACACTGCATTCACCCACTTTGTCCTAAGAGGGAAGGAAAGGTAGTTCACATTCTAAAGAGTAGAGTTAAGCAGCAGAGTCTTCCCGCGAAAAATTCTCACGACATTCGTGGGACGAAGTGTCTACCTCTTTGAGACATATTTTGAAATATCACGAGTGGTATGTACACCCAAATATCAGGTATAAATCATGCTATTATTTGTTTATACTACTAGCCACGAAAGGTTTGTAATTTTCACATGTAGGTATTTCAAATTAAGCTGAAATACCACTGCTCTAAGCCAAGCAAATTACAGAAATTTCTCATGTAGTAGTATAAGAGCGCTGAAATTGCAATCCCGAGACCCCGAGTTCAATCCCTACCCTAACAGCTAGCTGGATTTGTTCTCGGCAGTCCCGAGCTCATCTCCCCGGTCACGCTCGCAAAAAGGGAGCTTAAGCAACGACGACGGTAGTCCAGGTCCGTCCCGTCTCTCTAGGTGACGCAACGCCTGGAGAGAGCGGTAGAGAGAGGGACCCTCTCTCACTCCCGGCGTTGCGTGACATAGGGGGGGGTGGGGGGGCGGAACTGGACTACGACGACGGCGACGACAATGAGAACGGCAAAAAAGCAATAAGTTTAGATTAGCAAAACAACAACTTTGCCCGTGCATCACGCGTTTTTGTACATTTCCTTGCCGTCTCTACAAGACTACGACTTGAAACTGCCCAAATTCACGTCTTACCGAGGACGTGAACACAAGACAACGACTTTCTATTTCTTTTCTGTACTATGACAAGGTCCTTTAGAATTCACCTTCTGAAAAAAATCGCCAACATTTGACAAATTAAAAGAGTTTGAATAAGAGCGATGAAGTGTGAGACAGCCAGAATTCACTCTTTGGAAACGTCATCATAGCCGTTGCCGTTGTCGTTGCTTAAGCTCCCTAATATTGAGCCAACTGGTTTTCCTCCGGCCAGCTGGGATTCTTTAAAACTTGTGGGTCTCAGTGAGAACTAATGGATTACCATTAATTGTGGTTCCCCTTTTAAAGTCCGTTTTTTCACTTTTGTACCTAAGGCCTGGTTCACCAGCCCCCATATATTTGAAAACGCAACGTAATATACCCCACTTACTCGTCTTACCACGAAACCATTGTTCATTATATTGAAAACGGGGGCGTTTCATAATTTGGGTCTGGATAAATGTGCATGGTAAGCCTTTATCCTGCGAAGTGTAGACAGCTAGGCCTAAGAGCGATTGTACACACTAATTATACAGCTAATATAATACAAACACTTTCTACATCTGGAGAACAAAAACAGTCCCACACTATAATTTTACCTGTTAATACGTCTGCGATAGATGGAGGCCTTGATTTCGAATCGAGTTTTCCCAGTCTATAGAACTCTTCATCAACTTTCTTGAACCGCTGGTTAACAAATCGAAACATATCTTGGAGCTGGCTAGAAACTGAACCCATGCTGTCAGATTTGCAAAGGATAAAAGCATATCTATCATATTGGAATAATGGTTATCTTTTTAACTACCTGTAAGCATTTTTTGTGAGGTTTGAAACTCGTTTGGTAAATAAATATATCTAGAAAGGACAAAAGAAGCAACAAAAACAAACAAACAAACAAACAAACAAACATAAACAAAACGAAACAAAGAAAAAAGCAATCGTTCACCACTGGCTACTTTACTTATTCTTAGTATCAAAAGCCATACTTTCAAAATTTATCAAAGTGCAGCCAATGAAAAGCATTTGTTTCTTTTTGGTCCACGCTCCTCCCAATAAAATTTTGTAAAAATAGTCACTAATTGATTGATCTAACTGACAAAAAATGTAACTAGAAGCATAATTCCGGCTGGTTATACCTATCATTGATCACTCTGATTTGTTCTTCTTGGGTGGCACGAAGCAGTGCGTTTTTCTCTCTGAGGTATTCATCCACGCATCGCTCTTCGAAAATTTTCATGCTATTGTCATAGGAATTCCCTAGGGAAAGATAAAATACAGCTGCTTACATGGCGATTAACTGGTCAGCATTCGATTCCATTCTTCAGAACCACCTTCCCCTCTTAGCTACCCTTACATGAAATTTCTAAGTCACTCAAACGTCTGCCCTTCTAATCTCTTTTCTTAATCTAAGTCCTATTGATCCCGGGACCGAGGCACCGAGTCCTATCGTCTCCACCACCTTTACCACGGTGGATTCGACTGCGAGATCAGCTTCGTTTTACATGTTTATGGTGACAGACCTAACAGTAAATGAAAGTTAACCATTTCGAGTCAGTGCTTAGCCCTAATCGCTATTGTCAGTGTTTAACCCTAATTATCATAGTCAGTTTTCAACCTTGATCACTATAGCCAGTGCACTTGCTTCTATATGATGAACTGCTTTGTGTAACAATCATGACGTGTCTAATGTGGTTCTGGACGGTGGAATCTAATGTTGACCCGATTAACTGGTGTGTGATTAGAATGTTATCTCCCATCGTTTCTGTCATCAAAAACCATGAAAGCCTAACACTGAAGGTTAGCAATTGCGCATTCTTCTTTCATATATATCAGGATCGAATCAAGACGCAGTTGTTTAAAAGTTACCTTCTGCTCTCCCTTTTTCGATCTGAATAGTTCAGACCACGAAGTTCTGGCGAACTTTGCTTTGGTTTTAAAAACTAGACGTCTTACTTGTCACTGTATAAGCAGCGTCTTGATTTCCATTTCGATGGCAAGATTTCTTGAAACAGCAGCGGTACAAGAATCTTATAGCGTAGATCACATGATTCAAGATAATGAACGGTGGTACCAAGACAGGTCTCTGCTTGTATTCTGTAACCAGGTAGTAACGCTCAAACATCCAGATCTGTTTTGCGTTGGTCTGCACCTTCTCGTACGTATTACTGAGATGCAAAGGATGAAAGTTAAATAGCTATAATATGTAAATTAAGGGTAACGGCAAAGGCTCACGGAGCCAAAGGCTCAAACGGCCGGAGCTTATATTATCCCGGTTTCCTTAGCATGAGGCATGCCTAGGAGTATTGCTACTCTCTTCTGGACGGGATGCTAGTCCATCGCAGGGTTACCCCCCAGGAGTATGTCGCCAGTACCCATTTATACACCTGAGTGAGGAGAGACAAAGTGGAGTACAGTTCCTTCAGATCCAGAGTTCGAGGTGTTAACCGCTCGACCACAACCACCTCCACAGGTGTAAAGGATGAAAGTTAAATAGCTACATGTAGATAAAGATGTAAGAATTATGGCATAAAAGGCACACGCTGCCGACTCTCAAGCCATTTTCACCTTATCTTTTACAATTAATTCAGTGATATTTGATTGATAGTTGATTTTGTCATTAAGAATGTGCTTTGGACACCATTAATAGTTAAGGTTTTTCAAGCGATTTTCATGCGTTTCAATATTTTTAGGTGTCTTTACAGTGCGACTACTATAACAGGGGCCACCTAGACGAATTTGACCAATCAGATTACAGGAAAATGACAATACGTTCCGGGAAAGTTAGGTGTCAATCATAACCGAAATAAACAAAATGGATCGAAATCAACCAGTTACAACCTATAGAAGTTACCTATGGAACCGCTGAAGAAAGCCCGTCTTTCCAGAGAAGTCTGTTAGAGTGAATAACGGAGGCAAAAAAAGCGTACACGTTAGTCCGGTTAGTTAAATTTTTGACTTGAGCTCGTGATGTTGTTGCAAAGCCCGGGTGCAAAGCGCGGCAATGGAAGCGAAAAAAAAATTGCTGGTAGATGACAAAATAACAGCGTGTGTCAAACAAATGTCTCCTGGGTGTTATATCAGTGTAAAGGTTCGAATAGAAAAACATTGTCTGGCGAAACATTTTTCTTGATAAACGTTTGCTATCAATATTTAAATCTGTGCTTTGAGTAACTTATTGCCATTTTTTTTTACGAGCTGCTGATTGGCTCAGGACCAACTTTCTTGGAATGTAATTGTTATTTTCCTGTAATCCAGTTGGTCAACTTTGCCTAACTGGCCCCGGTTACAGTAGTCTAACTTTAAGTGTCATGGAGACTGCACCTCAATAAGCACGGTCTCCATCCCCGTCGGAGGCAATCGGACCTAATCGTTCCGTTTTTCAATCTTGGAGACAGCGTGGCCAAGTGGTGAGAGCGATGGACTTGCAACCAAAAGGTCTATTACAAAGCAATCGAATTAAGTTCCATTGTGTTCGATAAGTTTCGTAGCGTAAGGACAGGCCTCTGACACCCTGCGTGGAAAACGTTTGATTGGTTCGGTAATTGTTCTATGTTGTTCGATTACCGAATTCAGTTGAACTCAATCAGTGACAGGCACAGAGTTGAGGTCGATAGAACTAGCGTTCTATCATTATTATCATTTTAAGAACTAACAAATCCACGACAAATTTCCATGGTCTGTACTCTTATCGACTATAGAAATGATGTCAACGTGTTAAAATGTTTGCAGTAAAACCACTCGCCTGCGACTAGTGGTTACACTTGACTTTTGAACATTTTTGACGTCATTGCTATGGTCTGTAAGAGAACAGACCATGGAAAATTGTCGTCAATACATTTGCAGTAACATTGGTGGTTGTTGAAATCCATTTAGGTTGAAGCTTCTCGAAAATTCGCGCGCGAGAGAAAAGAAAAAAACAAATTGTGCCAACATCACATCATTTCCATGGTCTGCAATCTTATCGACCATAGCTCTCGGCAAAAGAGCGCGCGAGAAATGACTCAGTTATTGTAAAACTAGAGTTCGATTATCTAGGCTAGGTCTACATGTAAGTAATAGTACGGTGATAGCGTAACGAATTAGTCGACTATTTATGACGATCTTTCTGTATGCATATCGAATTCTGGAATAAAAATACGCAGAAATTTGTGACAAATCCGTTCAATCCCCACTTTTTGGACCATTAGAAGACCACTTTCATCTCATTTGTTAATATCCTCCAGATTTCTAGATTTTACTATTGTAAAACAAGTGATTTTTGACTCTATTCCATGTTTTCTTACTCCGGAATATGGTCATTCGAACGAACCCTGGGCAACTTTTTAATAGAGCAATTTACTGTTGGAGACTTACTTGAAAATAGCAATAAGAAGATTTAACAGAAGAATGTTGACGACAAGCAAGTAAATCGCAGTCATGAATAACACCACTGTGTCCCCGTAGCTATCTTTTCTTGCAGTGCCAAAAACGGTCGTCGTGTTTTCAACTGGAATAAAATATACGAGACAATTAGCTACCACAGCCAGACCCACATACACATAAACCCAGAAACCGTGGGACCACAGACCCATAGGCTCATAGAGCCCCAATCACAAGTGGAGCACATTTCGAGTGTAAAGGATATCTTTATCGAAGATCAAATTAAGACAAAGGAAAAGACGAGCTGAATAACGAAAGTTTTCTGTGGAAGTATAATTGTAACCGCGGACTATTGCGCTCGACAAAACTTCTATTTTCGAATACATGTTCACGAAATGGTAGCCATCAACTGGTATTCTGCGATTATAAAAACGAAATACTTACTTTTATCTGGAGCATCCAAAAAGAGTTCTCCATGGGCCTGAAAGTAAGGCCTGAAGAAGATCTGAGATGCCATGGACCAGGAAGGACCTTCGTTTGGGTACAGGAGAGCTTGTTGAGGAATTCCATAAGCCAGGAAAAAAACCACCATGATCAGAAGAAAATACATTAAATCCAGAGTCTAAGGAGTCAAAAGATATTAAATAAAAAATGATTGGCAAGGCTAGAATGGTCAATGCCCTGACAAGCATGCATTACACGAATAAACACCATCAAGTAAATAAGCAAACAGCAACAACAACAACGTTGCTAAAGAAATACGAAAAAGCTACAGTAGTGTGTTTCTCGCACTTCCTAAATATTTTATGACTCAAAAATAAAAGAATATCAAGGTAAATTTTCCTGAATATGTTTTCTTTAATTGCCTCAAGCTTCTTTTCAAAATGTGAAATCTCTGACGTAAAAGTACTTTTTCATCCAGTTACTTGACATTCAAACAGAACCGATTAGCACTTGCCCTTCGTTTTTATGATGAGAATATATATAATCTAGAAATAGCATTGTTTTTACTCATTACCCTGTAAGTTCAATTTGGTTGCTAAAATCAGAGAGCTATACGCTATAGTTAACATAATCTAATAGTTATGAACCCCGACAAGTTTACCATGCCTTGCGCTCAAAGCATTCCAACCAGGTTGGACTGAATCCCCGTTATTTTTTGCCCACTTTCAATTGGCCACTTTTCTTTTCTACTTTGACTATTTAAGTCAACATGTGACACTTGTATACTGTAACGATCACAATTATGTAAAGGATATGAATCATGCGTGCTTATAAATAATGCAATGTAGTAAATTTGAACTCCAAATAGAGAAATTACTATGTAACCCGGCGTGTTACTTTGAGCTAAATATTTAAATGATATTCAATAACTGTCGTCCCTTACCATCCTGCCAATCATCACCACGTAAGGTCCCATGTATTTGCTAACATAAAAAAAGTGCATCAAACGCATAATCCACATAGCCACATCAAAGCAGTAAACCACGTGACCTGCATCACGCGTTGGTGGGTATAGTCTGAGTCCAAGGCCAATGAAAAACGATACCACTGCGAGGCCGTCGAGACGGTTCCAGTAACTGGAGGCCCATGCTTTGAATTTGTTTTTCAGTGTTGGTGGTTCGGACTGAAGAATCTACCAAAAAAGAGTAATCTTTTATTTAAATCGCAAACCGAATTGTTCCGCAATTTTACTCAATATACACAGTCAAACCCCTTCAGGCATGCCAGGACTTTTGGTGTCAAGTTTAAAACTTGTAGGGCCAAGAGTTGTTTTATTAATTCCCAATACTTTCGGGTAAACTCATTCTAACAGTCACCAGTTTTTTTTTCAAATAAATCTTTGTTCGTACTTTATATATTTTTTGTAGATATCCTTTATAGTTATAACTTTTGAATTTCTTAAATCGATTGTAATTTATGCTTTTTAATTTAGTAGTTTTTGTCTTTAGTATGTATATACGTGATTCAGCCTCTGGCTGCGATGTCCATACCAATAAAGTATCTATCCGTCCATCCATCCATCGATCCCTAGCACTCGGTACTTGAAAAAAGTGTGTGTTAAAATCTGTCAGCGCCCAAGGAGTACCGTACGCGGGGCACCAAAATCAGCAAGATTATAGTCTCTTCTCAAAGCAAGTGAAGTTCAATGTATGTAGTACATAAGTTATCTCTTTTTGAAGTGTCAAAGAGTCACCAGCTAGGCTAGAGGTCGTTATATACAAGATTGTGTTACCTGTCTGATTTCCTCAGCGCACAAAGTACAAACGAAGATGATAAGCACAATTTCGCCGATGGAAGGAATTTTGTCTTGACGAACAAGAACAACGTAGCTGAACAGGGCCAGGAATAACATATAATCAAACTGAAAAGTCAACAACAATAACAACAATGAACTCAAAATCAGTTGCAAAACCTGTCAACAATCACCTTGCTGAGCACCATGCCATTAACAGACGAAACATCAAACCCACTGGGACTCTGCGACATGTATAACATATTCTACAGACTACTCATATCAACGACTCACTTTAGAAAGCTGGTTTACTAACTTAGAAAAAACACCTTTGAATCGCAGTCAACAGTTACCGGCACAGTACAAACAACTTATTGACGGAATCAAGCAAAACTAACTGGACAACTGACAATTTGACTGACAATAAACGACTGTTTAACTGTGACAAAAGACGGATCGAAACGCACCAATGATATTACGAGTCTTCATAGCCAAAAACATCATCGCTTAACTGACAGACGACCAATAACATCGCGACTTAATTGACCAATCAGGTTAATAACCAGAGTTTAATACCATCAACTGACGTGATACAACTCACTTTGCTAAGCTAAGCTATTAGATAACCTAAAGCCACGCAAGGCCGCTGGGCATGATGGTCTTTCTACCATGGTCCTCGGGGAGCTCTCTTCAGTAGCTTTCAGTAATAGCAACAGTCCTTCAGAAGATCTTCAGTAAGTCCCTATCATCTCACCAAGTACCAGAGGACTGGAAAAAAGTCTTGGTAATACTCATCTTTAAGAAAGCGATAAGGAGAGTCCTGCAAACTACAGACCAATTTCCCCGACATGTATCTGCAGTAAATTGCTAGAGCAACTAGGAGTATCATGTCACATCTATAACATCACAATCTCCTCTATCATTTGCAGCATGGCTTTCGCAGATTCAAGTCGTATTAATCGCAGCTAATTGAGTTTGTAATGATGTTGTCGACAACTCGCATGCTAAGCAGACTGATATCATCATACTAGACTGTTCAAAGGCCTTTGATAAGGTTCCTCACAACAGACTTCTTTATAAACTGGAGAATTATGGTATTGGAGGCGACACTCTGAAGTGGATTAAAGCCTTCCTTGAAAATAGGCGACAATGCCTACTGGTCGATGGCGAGAGGTCTAATTTTGTAGCTGTCCTTTCTGGTGTGCCTCAAGGCTCCGTCATAGGTCCAGTGCTCTTTTTGGTAGACATTAACGATCCCCCCGCAGAACATAAGATCAATGGTTCACCTATTCGCCGACGATACCATTCTCTATTTGACTATCACAAGTGAAGATCACCGCAGACAGCTCTAGGATGACCTTGACGCGCTTCAGAAATGGGAGGCAACTTGGAGGATGGAGTTTAATGTCACTAAGTGGGAGGTGTTCCTGATCTCGCCGTCTAAAACCCCATTCCAACATACTTATTACCTGCATGGCACTCCAAGAAAGGAGGTTGATCACGCGAAATACCTAGGTATATGGCCCTCAAAAGATCTCAAGTGGAATCGACACATTGACGAGATAACAGCCAACTGAAGGCAAACCGCACGCTTAGCTTCCTTAAAAGAAACTTAGTGGTATAGGAGGGACCGTTTACTCCACTTTTTGGCGCAGGAACTTCATTAACTTGCGCAGGAATACATTAACGCCAATGACGTCATAACCTTTTGTCTTTATCTCATGAATAAAATGCGCAGGAATCTCATTAAGATAAGGTCGTGTGTTAGTTGGTAACGTAATTATGCATGTCCTATTTCCTACTGCTGTGAGTGTCCTAGTTCCGGTTCACTGACCTTTGACGGGCAAATCGTACATATTCATGAGGGCAAAGGCAAACTAGCCCTTTTTTAGCACGAAAGACAGTGCTTTACCTACCCGTCTCCCTTTTCATTTTTATTTTCCTCCTCCTCCACAATTTTATTAATTTCCCTCCTCAATTTTTTAATTCCCTCCTCCACAATTTTATTATTTTCCCTCCTCATTCTTGAATTCCCTCCCTATCCACAATATTAATCTTTCCCCACTTCCTCCTCATTCTTTTCTATTCTCCTCCTTCACAATTTTTATTATTTTCCCTCCTCCTTCCACACCGACCCCACATCGACCTCACATCGACCCCATATCGACCCTACATCGACCCTAGAATCAACTTTTTTTCAATACAGCTTGGTGAATAGGGAATATATGCAACCACCACCACATTTTTCCCCTCCTCAATTCTTTTATTCCCTCCTCCACAATTTTATTATTTTCCCTCCTCCATGTTTTTATTGAATCCTCCTCCTACTCCGCCAGCTCCTCCTCATTTTTATTATTTTCCCTCCTCAATGTTTTTATTTCCTTCTCCTCCACCTCCTCATTTTTATCGTTTTCCCTCCTCCTTCTCCTCCACCTCCACCTCCACCTCCTCCACATTTCGATTGTTTTCTCTCGAAAAGGCCAAAGAGGTCAAAATCAGGCCATCGCATTTGAGTTTGGCCTTTTAGGTCTGATTTTGACCTCTTTGGCCTTTTTGAGGGAAAACAATAAAAATGAGGAGGAGGAGGAGGAGGGAATAAAAACATTGAGAAGGGAAAATAATAAAAATGAGGAGGAGGTGGAGGAGGAGGAGGAGGAGGATTCAATAAAAACATGGAGGAGGGAAAATAATACAGACCTCACGTTAGGGTGGACGGTAGGGTGAAGGACTGCAACCGGAAATAAAAGTTGCCCGATTTGGGCCTAATTTGCATCTATCTAGCCGTCCAGCTTACGTCGACTGCAATTCGCGACGGTGACAAGGCTTAGTGCGGCGGTGTCTCGAGAACGTGAGTTTTCTCTTCGTGTTTTTGTCTTCAAAATATCTTCAAAATGTCTAGTTTACTTCAAATGGTAAACCTTTCTCAATTACTTGTCATAACACTATTTTATGATGGAATATAGCACACTGAACTTGTCCAAATGGTGCAACTGCAGGATTAGAATTCCCAGCGATAAAATTATCACATTTAATACTCTCGCATCATGTGAACATCGGCTTCTACCCTTTTCTTTGTTCACGAAGTATTCAGTTCATTTTTTCTGCTTAAGTTATAGGCCAAAATAAAATTACGTGTTCATAGGTTCATTTATTCGACAAAGTAAACCCCTTGATAAAGCAAGATGAAGGAACTCGGCTTGTTTATCGCGCACATTGTCCATCGTATAATTTGTTTTTATTTTAAGACTGTGGAGTGGACTAAAGTTCACGATATTCAGCTTGCTAAAGAAATTCTTGTAAGTGAACCCTACCGCTTCAAGCCCAGAACTGTGTAAGCTCGATTACCAGCCGTTGTTACTCTAAGAACTGTGGAGCGTGGGAAAATGTGGCCGATACGTAGATCGCAAATGAGCTCAATGAAGCGACAAACATTCTCTTTAGAGTAACAAAGTGCTCAACTAGTTTTCATTGAACGAATTCCTCATCTGATATGACACCATCATATAAAAGTAGACCAAAATCTCTCGGATCTCTTTCAGGGAACTCATTCTCTCAAACCTTCAATAAAGTGAAAAAAAACGTCTTCGACCGTCACCTCTACTGAAACTTAAAGTTTGTTTCTCTCGCCAAGTCAACGTCGTCCCTCTCCAAGCCGCCGCGGCCAGAGTCACCGTCCTCTATGTCACCGTCCACCTAAACTTAAGGTCGCTAATAAAAATGTAGAGGAGGGAATAAAAACGTTGAAGAGGAAAAACAATAAAATTGTAGAGGAGGGAATAAAAAAATTTTGGAGGGAAAAATGTGGTGGTGGTTGTATATATTTACTATTGACCAAGCTGTGTTTAAAAAAGGTGAGTCTAGGGTCTATGTGGGGTCTATGTGGGGTCGATGTAGGGTCGATATAGGGTTGATGTGGGGTCGATGTAGGGGCGATGTAGGGTCGATGTGGGATCGATGTAGGGTCGATGTGGGGTCGATGTAGGGTCGATATGGGGTCGAAGTGGGGTCGATGTAGGGTCGATGTGGGATCGATGTAGGGTCGATGTGG